CCTAGTTTTTTAACTAGGATGGGGTGAGAGACGGTGTCAAAGGCCTTGCTGAAGTCCAGAAAGACTACATCCACCGCGACACCTGCATCCATGGCCTTTGTGACCTGATCGTAGAAGGCAATCAGGTTGGTCTGACATGATCTCCCCCCATGCTGTCTTAATGTGTCAGTCATTACTGCTACAATTCTTCCAACCTCATTTTCCACAAGTATATTCTTAGTTTCTGGAGGAAACCAAGCGCATTTGTCTCCCTGACACCTTTCTGGTCTATCTTCAGTTCAGTACTGTCTTCCACTCTGTATGTACTAGCGTCAGTATCTAATAGGAAAGGGGTGTTGAAAATAAAGGAAAGCAAAGACAGGAGCAGTAAGAAGGGAACAGGGGATGCAGAATCCTGGGCATGTGACAGAGTGGAAAGCGGTAGGGCACAGGAAAATCCTGATGTGGAATACAAGGACAAAAAGCTTTGACCATGGAGGAAGGAAGGGGGATGCCATTACGAGGGAGGGTATAAAGTCCCTGTCATGGGGTAAACAAACAGAGGGGTAATGAATGGCAGGCACCCAGGGAATGGAAGGAGGCATTGCTGCATGCAACAAGTTCTGCCAATAGAAGTACGAATGTGCATAACTAATCTTATATCTCCACTGATACATTCCCACAGGTGACTCAGCACAAAGTACATTGAAACATGCCATAAAACTAGTACCCAAAATTACACAGCAGACCACAATTCTATTTAAGTGAAAAGATTCTGCTCACATAATAAATTGGATACAGTAATGATCTGTTGTCCTGCCTTGCTCTAAGCAGCATGGTAAAATATCTTCAATTTTATTTGAGCAAGACTTGCCATTCTGCCCATGCTTAACATCTGCTAGCCGCCTCTGTCATCAAACTCACCTTAACTTTATTTACAATACAATTTTGTGCTCTTGAAACAGAAGCAACTAACCTCTCGTGCCATTAGACTTAGGGTCTCTGCCGGATACCTCTCTATTATTTGCAGCAGCCTGGGAAATTTTAGCCTGGCTTCCCTGGAATTCAATTTTAAAGCTTTTATCATCTTCTCCACTACAATAGCTGGGAACGTCTGCAGATCCACTGCACCAATATCTGCCAGGAGACATTAAACAAAAATTATCAGAATCGCCATCGTTTGTTTCATGTCTTTGATCATTTAAAACACTGATCCTTACTCTTGAGCACAGTACATACTTTCAGTGCTCTGTAGGGGATTTTAACAATTTTTTAATTTTCACTTTGTTCTAGTTCCCATTGCAAGATCTGTTTGCACTGCATACACCAGCAACACATGTAGCCTTGGGTCACTAGGATTAGCTTTTATCAGTAGGCTGCATCACCACTAATATCTTGCCCATTTTTAAATACAGCACTGTTGCAGTCTGGGATGGAACAAGAAGAGCATCTCCTGGATAATTATCCCACAAGTAAGATGGAAACCTCATGACTCATTAACGGTGAAGCCAGGAAAGAAGGTTAAAAAAAATTATTTAAAAAAAAGAAAAGGATGTAAATACCATCTAAATCGAGGATAAAATGTTTCAATTTAAATTCAAACCCTGCTGTCATCTCACAAGTAGTATGAAAGGAAATGTATTTTAGGGAAATTCAGTCAACAGGTGTTCTTTCCCTGCTAACACTATATAACATTTTCAGCTACCCAGCTCTAGGTTTTGCAGGCATTCGGACTGTTCTTTGGCATCTGATTTTTTCCCTGGGAGGTCCTATAAGATCTATGTAATTTCTGATCACCAGATAAGCCTTCTTCCTCTTTATGTAGGTGCTTGTCACAGAAATCAACCAAAGTCAGGTAAGCATCTATCACTCCAGTCAGGTCTACATGCTCCATGGTGCGAGACTGCATTTCTTCTTCAGCTTTCCTCACTGCATCGCTGAAGTACTGGAAAGCCCGCTTGTTCAGACTTGCAATCACCTGAAATTCAACCAAAAGTGGAAATCACATTAGCAGTAATACTCTGCAATTCTCTAGAGCTCAGCAAATTAGTCATGCAGAAGTTATTCATTAAATTTAGTTTTTTATCAATATTTCATGAGGAAAGGTTCTTGGTTCCAAGTGTTCAATAGGGCTGTGCAAAGCTTCAGTCCCCGATTCGATTCGGTGGAGATTCAGTCTGATTTGGTGGCTGAATCAACAAATCAAATCAGGAGACGCTTTAATTTCTGGAAATAGAATCAGAACCCTCCAAATCTATTCAAAGAGATTTAGAGTGATTTGGCAATTTGGATATAGACACAGCTTTAAATATTTTTTCTACATACCTCGAAGTACCAGCTGGCTTGTGAATGCTGCAATGGTGGGGTGGATGGAGCATCCCATAAAAGTGTGGGGGGCTCCCTAGTGCAGTCGGCAGCAGACCTGGAAATATTTCCAGTCAACTTCTGGGTTTGCCGCCAAGCATAAGGGGGGTCCCCCACCCCGTGCTCCTGTGGTACACTCCATCCGTCCCACTATGCAGCGTTCATGAGCTTCACCTGGTACCTTGAGGTACGTAGAAAAAACATTTAAAGCCGTGTCTACGGCCGAATCGATGATTCTCCAAATCAGCATCAAATCTTCAGATTTGGATTCAGCCAAGTCAAACTGAGGACAGTGAGCCAAATCAACTAATCGAATCACTGTCTCCGATTCGGGCCAAATCTGAATCTGAATCTAATACAGCCCACTTCACACATCCCTCGTGTTCAACATCTGAAACTTGAGTCACGTTGGCTAACTGCACACACCAATCACACGTTATTGTTTTTGCTTAGCTACTGGACTGGCCTAGCTATTAGAAGGAGTAGAGAACAGACACATCCTTTAAATCCACAGCCTCCAACCCAGCAAATCTGCTTATTAGACTACTTGAAAACAGTTCATATGAAAACAACTGTGCCTGAAATAGATGGGGTTTTGTTTTGTTTTTTTGTTTGTTTGTTTTTTTTAAGAAGACCATGCCCAGTTCTAGTTTTTAACTTAATTTTTATACCTGTTGTCGCTTTGCCAGTTATGAAAAGGGAGGTTCAGGGCGGTTATAGATGCTTCTATTATGATACAAGTAAACAAACAGAAATCAAAGCACTTACCAAAAGCATCTTAGGTCTATCAAGTCCTTCAGCTACCACCAATGCAGTCACTTGTTTGGAATGTACCATCCATGTGACAGCAACACCAGGCAATGCAGAAATACCATGCATCAGTGAGAGAGATGATAGCCAGCACAGCTAGACTGAATTTTTGGTAGACAGAGGCACAATACGGAAACTGGATTTTGATCAGGGCTCTACCTTTAGGGCATTACCTATTAATGCCCTTACTTTTACAGAAAGAACTGTGGTCTCTCAGCCTGCCATCAAAAAAGGCATCAATGTAGGAACACTGGTTAAACAGCGACACCAGGTAAACAGAACAGTAAGGCACAGACTCCTCTCCCTGCAGCACCCAGCTTCTCGCAAATGTCTAACCTTTCTTAATTTTTGTTATCCGACAGGGATCATAGTATAAGGCGATGAGGAACACACCTCCAGCTCACCTCCCAAACATCTATTATAAAGAATGCCGCTTCTCATTTTAGTAGAGCAAGTTGGACAAAAACCCTGTAGCATGGCTTGAGAGTTAAGTACTTAATTCCACAGAAATTTTAGGGCTACTGTCAGGCCCTTTCCTTTCTATACCACACCTTGGCTTTTCTTTGATATCTATAAAAGACAAAATCTGACTTAATATTCAGCCTTTTGTTGTACTGATATGATTTGTTTACAGACAGCACCAGCTCCTAAGTTAACACGTAACAGAGGGAATGTTCTGGCTGTAGTTATTCCCCAAGACCCCTGATCAAAGGCATCTATCAAGATCAGTCGAGATAAATCAAGAGTTGCAGCTGAAGTTTTCACTTGAATCCCTCAGACAGATGGAGCTTCACTTTCAGGGCATCTCAAACAATTACATATATACTGAAGACATTGGCAGGGTCTGTTTCATAGAGAAATAAGGCTGGAACTCAAGAGATGTTGTACTCCTTAACTAAGGCAAAGGAGTTCCCTTTTAATGGTACTCTCTCAGCTATAATCAATAGCTAAAATGATTTAGACAAATTAGCTATACTAATATCAAAAGACAACTACGTTCATTGGCTAGCTTTGCCTGACAGATATCCAAGGGCAGCATTCCTGCACCTGTCTGGCTGGTTTCTGCTCCCAGTATAGTTGTCTCTGTACACATGCATGCTTTCAGTTACATAGCTTTCCCTGCTCTGTAAAGACATGCCAGTAAAGAAGCAGCTTGGGAGGATATGGTCACAGCAGAACTGAAGCTCTATGCAGGATTTTTAATTCAACAAGAGATCAGGAAATGGATTTTCCTCTCCTGCAAGACCTGCAGAGGAACAATGCCTCTCCCCAGCACACGGGCTATCCAAGGGTAAGGGTGTGTGGCTAGAGGTCAGGCTAACAGGAACTGTTCACAGCTGCAGTGCACTGAGAAACCAACACAAGTATTAGTGTGGGTTTACTGTAATAACCAACATGTGCTCAATTGACTTATGAAACGTAACATTATCCACAGCACTAAGAAACTTGAAAAAAGGAAGCAGTTTCCTTCACCTTTTCTGGACTGTCAGGCTTCTCTCCAGAAAGCATTGAGACTTTTCTAACTTTATCTTCCTCGAGTTTCTCAAGACACCGTGGATCCTTGCTAAGGGCAACAGCCATAATGCGGTAAGTGGTACCCAGGAGAAGATACTGATTACGCAAGACCTCTATGCTCTTGCTCAGGTGGTCAGGCACAGTCCCATCTGTTGGAATGCAATGGTAAAATTAACAACTTGGCAGTGAAATGGATGCCCATGAAAAAAAAGAACAGAACCCATAGCATGGCTTCTGCATTACTGCAGTCCTACTAGATAATGCATTACCCAGTAAGGAGACAGTTTTCAACACTGTGAGTATTTTTTGAGGGCTACTCTGGCTCTGACAGGAACTGTGGCTGACACGGCAATAGCTGTGGTTCCATCTCACTAGCCAGCTGTCTCTGGTTCTAGATTCCCTCTGCAGATCCTTCAGAAGCTTCTTAGCAACTGCAAAGATGTTCTGTATGAATAGATCAAGGTGGTAGTTTTTCAGTAACACATTGTAGAAGGGTAGGTTAAAAAAGAAAAAAAAAAAAAAAAAAAATCAAATAAATAGAAAACACTCCTAGATGTAGGCAAAATGTGGAAGGGTTCCACTGCTGAACAGCTTATATATGAAAAACAAACTTACACTAATGAAGATATGGGAGGGAGAGGGGAGGAAACTGATCTAAAAGTTGATGGACAGAAGAGGTTTTATCCTATTTGTATCAAATAATTATCACTCATCCACCAATACAAACACCTACCAGTGATTTTATCTGCCATGTGGCCCAATTCAACAAAGCACTGAAATGTGTTCAAGTGCTTTGAGGAACCAGGTCTATAATAAACAGAATTAATCAAAACCTTATTCTCAGTTTCGCCTAACCCTTTAAAACCATATTGTGTTTATACGTGTACAGAGGAAAAACTCTCTCTCTCAATCTCTATCTACAGTACCTAAATTTGATGGGGTGAACTAAGGTACAACAGAAGCATTCCATATTATAATGGAAATAATTTTTAATGTTACTGGACTTGTTCCAAGCTGGGAACCCTCAGCTCTATTTTAGCACAGAATTCCCATTCCCTTCATTTTAACTGACAGACCCTATTCAAAATACATGGGCAAATTTTTGAGATGTGGTGTTAAAAACTAGGCTTCTAAATCATTTAAACTATTAATAAGTGGTTTGACTTTCATATATATCGAGTATGACATTCACTGAGCTCAACAGTAGTTTTTGAATGTTCTAAAAACAGGTTATTTAGTTGCAGACTTTAGATAAATGCTGGTCACAGTATCTATTAGCATCCAACAAGAAAAGGTGTGGCTGATTGGTGTTGAGTGGGACAAGGTAAGGTGAGCTGGTTCAATCTGAATTTGGTCTGTAGCACTTTATACAGAAAGCTGACTTGTAAATGCCTGCAATAAATCACGAGACTAAATATATAAAAATAAGCAGCTTTGAATTATGATCAATCACAACAGTTTTATTCAAAACGTCCTACTCATAGCTATACTCTTTATCTATTTATTCTGAAAAACATCATATCATCTAAAGAGCAAAAACGAGACTTTAGGCACAGTTCCAAAAATTACACATTTAAGTATTTTTAATTAAGTCATCTATTAGTTTGCACAGAAAGAATCAGACCTCCCCATGCATTCAAAAATACTTCATGGGAACAAATTCCTACGTTGTCTGGGCAATCTTGGGACAATTAACAGCATGTTTCCAGATCTAACTGCTTCATGAGAAAATCATAGAAAACACAATTAGGCCATGAAGAGTCACCTGCTTTCGGGCACTCTCTATCATCTTCATTTTCATATTGAATTTGCAGCTTCTAATCATTGAGTGAATGCTGTCTTCTTGCTGATCCACCTCCATTTTGTCACCAAAGTCTCCTGCTCCATCCACCTCCATAGTGTCATCAGCTTGGACATTAAGAAGTTTCTCCTGAATTTTGTCAAGAAAGAAACACCTACACAGTAGAATGGTGAAAGGGAATACAAGTTACTTCCACATACACTGAACAGGAAACACAGATGTATATTCAGTTGCTGCCATTCTTTCCACTGGCAAACACAAAAAAATAATTTCAGTCAGTACCTGATGGAATTGTGCTCCTTCAGGAAGAAGTAGGCATATTCTATGCATCTGAACAGTTGTAATCATGGTTAGAGTGACCCAACTAGGTGGTCAGGGATTTTGGAATGATGTGTCACTTTTACTCTGAACACTGCACCTGGCTGGAGAACCTAACTCTGTATATAATGGAATTTAGGTACTAGAAAATGCCTCTACTTTTCCATTGTTTTTATATAACTTCAATCCCAAATTTACTGAGACAAGCCTTCAGGCCTAACTCTAATGCCTTCATAAAATGTAAAATGGTTTATGAAATCTAAGTGCCAGACTATGCTACATGTCACTCCGAGACCCAAAAACAAACTTTAGATTTGTATAGGCATCCTTTAAAATTTATATTCCAGCTGTGCTCAAAGACCCCAGTCAAAGTTTGGCCCCACCAATACACTAACTCATAGCAAGTCCTCCTTACTCCTCAAGTTCTTATGTAATTTGACAGGACTTCCTCCAAGGAAGACTTATTCAAGGCAAGGAAGGGTGTCAGTCTTCACTTGCACTTGATGCTGCACAAACAGAAAGCACAGTCCCAGTCCCAGTCCCAAGGAGCCTGACAGTGTAATTTAAGACAAGATGAAATGAGTAGGTATCTTTCTAGTCCACAACAAGCTTTTATCAGGTTTGTAACTCTCCGAAGTCTGTAGGTTATGGGACTTTCAAAAGGCAATAAACCAGGGTAGACCAAACTTACGAGGAATTTTAGGGTTATTTAGTCCGGAGGAAGAGACTGAGGGGGGATTTGATAACAGTCTTCAAAATGCCTGGAGGGCAACTACAGAGAAGATGGCAATGGCCTTTTTTCTATGGTCACAGAGGACAGGACTAGAAGCAAAGGGCTCAAGCTGCAGCAGAAGAAATTTAGGTTGGAGATTAGGAGGAACAATATGACTATGAGGGTGGTAAAGCACTGGAACATACTACTTAGAGAAATTGTGCATTCTCCATGCTTAGAAATTATCAAGAGGAGGTTAGACAAGATACTTGACCGAGATGGTTTCCTTGGGGATGATCCTGCCTTGAGCAAGGGGCTAGACTAGATGACCTTGTGAGGTCCCTTCCAGTCCTACTTTCCTATGAGCTAAAATGTACTTTGGTTAATGTCCAACCAAAAGTTAACAGCTTTGCAGGATGGTTAACATCTTAGCTGCCCAGATGCTCCCAAGCCTGCTTCTTTCTTTTTTGTGTCCTTGTGACAAAGTATTTAGCAAAATTTGCAGATTCACTGGAATCTGACAGGGTCATACTGTGAACGCTTCTGCTATGGCCTCAAACTTGCAAACTCTGGGCTGTCAACTGTGCACCTTAGTGCCTGCATCACCTCAACCTCCCTCTCCCCTCCCAACCCTCTGCCCCCACCAAACCTGCGGGGACACAGAAGAGATGATGAACAAATAAATATAGAGGAGTTCACTGAGGGACAGAGAGATGTCATGTGAGCAACAGAGAATGATGTGGAGCTGCACTGAGAGAAAGGAGGTAATGTGGAGAAATAGTGTGGGGGAGAAAAAGAGAACTTGCAAGTTTGGAAAGTATTTTATCTTCTTAAGAACTAGACCAGGAAAGTCTCCTGAAAGCCAGTCATTTCTAGAAAGTGCTAAACAAAAGAAGTTTCAAGTTACAGTTGTTGGTTTTTTTTTAATTTTTACATAGAACATACCTACACAAACAAGTTCCTGCCAGGTAAGTTTACCACATCAGTTATCCCACTGACATTATCCCACTAAACTACATGTAACCCACCATCCAAGTAGTCTTCAACATGCATAACGGTTCAGAATTAGACCAGGTTCACTTACAGCTCCTATTTCCCAATGGCATATCTAGCCACTGATGTAGAGCAAATAATGTTGGCTTTCTACTACTAGTCAAATCTGCTAACTGCATACAGTGATGATCCATCCACCCACATATATCTGCCCTCTCTCTCTCCTCACTGGTTAGCAATATGAAAACAGCACGTTCCACCTGAAAGGCACGACGTGACAATATTTGAAAGTCACTCAAGTGCTATATGCAAAACACTTACTTCTACAAACAACATAAAACACACAGCTGGGCAAGCTCAACAGACATGTAGAGCTGCAGTTAACAAAGAAACTTCTCATCTTACCGGTTTGTAATGATATCATCCCAGATGTTCATAGGGTCCATTTTAGCATCTGGATATCTGCTTGTCCAAATTCTGAGAAGTCTCTTAAGGGAAGCTTGAGAAGCTAAGTTACCTAAAATCAATTAAAGATACTTTTTAAAAAGGCTAAATTCAAGCAATGTGAAAATGGAGGTTCCCATCCTGATTTTTACAAATTAGTGGCAAGCAGAGACTAAATACATAGCTTTCTATAAACAACGCATTCATATTTCCAGACTTCTACAGTATAACCTCATAAATCTGAGTATCAGCAATCTGGAGTTCTCAAAAATCCGGCACTTTTTAAGATTCCCCCTCTGGCTCCCCTAGATGGGGAGGGGGAAGCTTCCACACAGCAGCTGCCACCATCATCCACACTCCGCATGTGGTTGCTCCAGGACTGGCCACTGCTCCCCACCCCCTGCAGCTTCAGTATAACTGTAGTACTCTGGTGTTTAGCATACTATTTGAAGTTGTTTCTACACCCAAAATGCAACAGATTAAGGAAACTAGGGATATCATAATTTTCATAGTAAAAGAATGACTACTACTAGCAGTATTCCCTACAGGAATAATGTAGGACATATACTGCAACTATTAATTACATTTTGGTACTAAGTGGATAATGCACAGTTAGCTTTATATTTCACATCCACAATGGCAGCTATTGAAAGAACATATGATCTGTCTGTTGGCCTTTACTAAGCTAGCTATTACTAAGCTAAAACTAATATTGTATAATTATGAAGAGGTTATTATTATTTTTATGAATATGCAGTCTATTTTACTGAACTTAGTAAAACAGATGAGGTATAGTAGATGACCTCATAAAAAGTAAATCGAAAGTATTCTCAAATCTATCTTATACAACTATAACTAGTTTTCAAAAGAGAAAAAGGGTAATTACTGATTTGTGGTCCTTTGCATTAGTAATTCATAGATGTTAGGGTCGGAAAGGACCTCAATAGATCATCAAGTCTGACCCCCTGCACAGGCAGGAAAGAGTGCTGGGTTCAGATGACCCCAGCCAGATGCTTATCTAACCTCTTCTTGCAGACCCCCAGGGTAGGGGAGAGCACCACCTCCCTTGGGAGTCCATTCCAGATTTTGGCCACTCTAATTGTGAAGTTCTTCCTAATGCCCAGTCTAAATCTGCTCTCTGCTAGCTTATGGCCATTATTTCTGGTAACCCCCAGGGGCGCCTTGGTGGGTAGAGCCTCATGATGAATTTATAGGCAGTCACAAGGTCGACTCTCAACCTTCTCTTGCGGAGGCTGAAGAGGTCCAGGTGCCCTAGTCTCTCCTCGTAGGGCTTGGCTTGCAAGCCCTTAACCATAGGAGCGGCTCTTCTCTGGACCCTCTCCAGGTTATCCACATCCCTCTTGAAGTGTGGCACCCACAACTGGACGCAGTATTCCAACAGCTGTCTGGCCAGTGCCTGATAGAGGGGAAGTATCACCTCCTTGGTTCTGTTTGTCATGCATCTACTGATGTAAGATAAAGTGCCATTAGCTTTGCTGATGATTTTGTCACACTGACGACTCATGTTTATCTTGGAGTCCACTAGGACTCTGAGATCACTTTCCACTTCTGTGCTGCCGAGCAGGTCATTTCCTAAGCAGTAAGTGTGCTGGATGTTTTTCCTCCCTAGGTGCAGCACTTTGCATTTCTCCTTGTTAAATCACATTCTATTGTTTTCTGCCCATTTGTCCAACCTGTCCAGGTCTGCCTGTAATTGTTCCCTGCCCTCTGGTGTGCCCACTTCTCCCCACGGTTTTGTATCATCCGCAAATTTGGACAGAGTACACTTCACTCCCTCGTCCAAGTCACTGATGAAGACATTGAAGAGTCTCTAGCCAATTTGCCACCCACCGGACTGTGTAATCATCCAAGTCACAGCCTCTTAATTTGTCCACCAGTATGGGGTGGGATACCGTATCGAAGGCCTTCCTGAAGTCTAAGTAAATGATATCTACCCCTACTCCTGAGTCCAGGTGCTTTGTAACCTGGTCATAAAAAGAGACTAGATTAGTCAGGCATGATCTACCTGATACGAACCCGTGCTGGTTTCCCCTCAGCATAATTTCTCCTGCTGGGCTCTCACATATATGAGCCTTAATAATCTTTTCAAAGACTTTACCAAGGATGGAGGTAAGACTGACTGGTCTGTAGTTGCCTGGATCCTCCTTCCTCCCCTTCTTGAAAATAGGGACCACATTGGCCCTTTTCCAGTCCTTCAGGACCTGGCCCGTGCGCCATGAGTGCTCAAATATTCTTGCCAGTGGCTGTACAATGACATCAGCCAGTGCCTTCAATACCCTCGGATGGAGCTCATCCGGGCCTGCCAACTTAAACGCATCCAGTTCTTCCAAGTGACTGCACCATCTCAGGGTCAACACCTGGTAGTCTGGCACCCAGCTGCTGTCTCTCTACAATTCCATTGTGAGACTTGCCTTCCCCCTTGTTTAGGAACACTGAGGCAAAGAACTCCTTAATGAGTTCAGCCTTGTCCCCCTGTCTGTCGCCAATTGCTTTTGGCTGTTCAGTAGTGGTCCTATACCACCCTGGGCCTTCCTTTTAACTCCCTGTATACCTGAAAAATAATTTTTTGTTATCCTTAACTTGGGATGCAATTCAGTTCTGTAAATACTGTGATTCACCACTGGGAATCTTTTATTATATTAGAAACAAATTTATATTTTTTATGTATATAATATACACTCAATCTAAGAGTACAATACAGGAAAAAAACATACTTGGGTTTCTCATAAAATTAATGAAGTCCTGTATTTCTGTCAAAGCTTGGACAGACTGCAGTTTGGTTAGTCGACTTCGGTGTAACAAAGCATCAATACTTGAGTAATTCTAGGGAGGAGAAAACACATTTACACAAAGTACTCTTAACACTGTAGAGCATCTAACTGATTCTTCTATATACTGTACCTGACAGGTACGCCAGTTTCTTCTTTTTATGGGTCATTTGGTTCAAAATAAGTTTTTCAGTTCAGTATATACTCCTAGCCTGATGGTCTATTAAAACCATTATATGGCTGACTACATGTGTAAACAGCTTATAGCTCTCAACTCAATATCCCATCTGCAAGATTTATGATGATTTATACGAGCCTCAGACAAGATACCTGAAACAATCACTATTAATTGACACCAAATAAAGATTTTCAAAGCCACAGATTCATAAAATATATTGACTAAATACACCAAAAAAAAAAAAAAAAGGATTAAAATATTCCCAATCTGTGGCAGCCCTGCTGAAACCAACTAGACTTCAGTGGCACCAAGATTCAACTCTTGTTGTATTTCTATCTTCAAGGCAAAATCCAATCGTGGCAACAAGAGCTTTGTTTTCCACAGTTCCTTAGAGATAATTAAGTCAAAAGACAGCAGCAACTTGTTACCTGCATGAAGACTTGCATGCCATTGCTGATGTAATATCTGGCTCTGTCAAAATCATCCTGCAGGATGTAAAGAAGACTCAGTTCTTGGCTGTAATGCATTTCTATGAGGGCTTTTCGTTGTTCTATCTTCATAGCCTCATCAATGAAAGTCAGCAGGGACTGGTCACTGCCCCCATGAAGCAGTAACTTCAGCTTACTACGTATTATATATGGCAGATACGTTTCCTACAGAGGAAAAAAACAGCCTTTAGACTTCAAGAAGGAAAATCATTTTTATTATAAGTCTGTTGCTTATGGTAGACAAATCAGATCTGGATTCTGATGAGTTTTACTTTCCACATAGCAGGGCTAGTTAATATATTAGAAGCCTCAGAATGTTCAACATTTGGCAATGACAAAACTTATTTTTAATAAATGGAATTCAATTTTTAAGCATTTAACCTCCCTGCCCCTGACTGACTCCCATCATCCAAAAAATAACAAAGCAACCTTTTCTAGTAAACTCATACAGTTACTTACTAACTGATGCTTAGCAAGTCTTGCCATTTTCAATGTAATGCTGTTCAGTAACTCTCCAAATGTGAAAGATTGAAACAAGCGGACAGCAATATAAAGACAGCAAAAAGATTAAGGAGACAAGGTTGGATCCATATATTCAGCTATGGAAATGATGGACAAATTACATAAGTCAAGAGAATACCAAAAAAAACCCCACCTGTAGAATTCTATGCATGAGTCATTCACTGTTTTAAAAAGAAAGTCCACTTCAATTATGAAAAGTATATTTGTAATCTAGTTACTTTACTTCTATCCTTAACCACAACATTGATAGATTCTGTATTAATTAAATCAAAATGATCTCTCATCTAAATTTAAGAGGAGATTTCTACAAACCTGAAAGAATGGATCATTCCATGTTTTGTTTAGGTCTGGAGGTTGTTTGCTATCAATATTTGAAGTGGAACAGCATTCCAGTGATTTCCATTCTGTCAGATGGTCATAGCATTCAAGACATGCAAGTTCCCAGAAATCTCTCTCTGCTTCACTTGGTTCACCATCGGACCAGTCTTGTTTGGAGAGAGCCTAGAAAAGGAACGCCAGATGGGAAGAATGCAAGTAGGGGCTGGAGTGTTACTTCCGTACAGAATCCAACTGAACCCCTTCAGCAGAGTTTAGAGTGATTTTCCATTGTTCCATGATAATATCTATTTCTTTACCCAAGGATTACAGCTAGCAAACCTTCAACTCAGCAAACAGGCCCCAAAAAATAAGAAATACATTTTTCAAAAAACAACTTCAAGACATAAGCCACTTACTCCTTTAGATATAATTTACTTTGGATGCCATCTTCAATCACCCTGCATTTGTAAAGAGCTAAGAGGCCAAGACACTTAAAGCCACCTCCCCAATTTCTACCCATATAAACTGTGTAAATCAATCACTTTCATGCAGTTTGTGTCTATTACTAGTTGTGAACACATACAGAATTTATATTTTACAGTTGATGTCCACTCTTGTTGGGATTCTAAGTTTAAAGTTCCACAATGTGTGCAAACAGGTGATTATGTATGCAAACTCGTAAGTGAAGGGAACATGAAAATCTGGTCTATTAATAAGCACCATCTATTATGAACTATTATTGGACTTCATCTCCTTTGAGGACTTTGAACCATATGAGGAACTGCTAAAATGTTCATTAAGCAGGACAATGTCCCACAGAAATTTTCATTTTAAACTAAGTATTAAAAAAGAAGCCTTGGAAAAAAAAAATCTGCAGGAAAGGTGGGTGTTTTACCTCATCATATTGTTTAACTGCTTCAACATAATCACTTTTTGCCTCTGCTAACAGTGCTTTCTGTGTAATTTCTTTAGTTCCAATCCTCCCACTGAAAATACCACGAAGAACATCATAATCTCCAACAGATCGATACAGCCTTTTAAAATTAAAAGACAAAACATGAATATATTGCAAAGGCTAAATCAGCACTAATCATGCAACTAATCGTGATCAAATTTTTAACTATTTGACAACCCTATAAATTATCTAAACTATGTTTCAGAGGAAGAAATTATTAAGCAGAACTACACACATTAAGTTTAAAATCTACCAGCTTGAGGGTGATATACCCGATTGGAAACCTTTGTAGAAGCTTTAACAGAGAATATATTGGAACAGTTCTCAGGCAAGATCTGTGGTTATGCACATCACCCAACAGTCCCATCTAAAAGTTAATAAATAGATGGCAAACTTGACTAATACCTAGGCTGAAAAGTAAAAAAAATTATAAAGTAAAAATCTTTCCTGGGTTAGTTTAGAAAAAAACAACCCTATTAATTTATGTCCAAAGAAGGACTTACTTAGCAAGTTCAATCCATCTGATCACATCTGGAGAAAGTTCTGTTCTTCCACACATCCTTTTGGCTGGTGGTTCTTCTATAGGGGAAAGATGAATTAGAGCCTGTTCTAGAAGCAAGATGCCCACTGGTTGCTGTAAACTGGCTAAGCAGCTGGTGCTCACACTGGCTGAATCAATGTCTAGGAGCTCTTTGTGCTGGTAACTCATTTCCTGTAAAACAAAACCAAGGGCAGTTATTAGGCATATGTTTATTGGAAACAGGCTTTGACAAAAGGAGAATTTGTTTTTTTCCCCTAATGGGAATGCTTTGACATTAGCTTTTGCATCAGTAAGGGAGAAGTTTAACTTAAATCAGCAACACCTTGGCTGACAAGAACAACCAATCCACTTCTTTAAAATACTGTAACACCAGAAGCTGGTTATCACTACATGTGCATATTGCAGCTCCTATGCCTGCGCTACTACTGCAACGATTAGTAATGTGGGAAAAACAGAAGTGGAGTGAAAAAACTGGACAGACCAACACTGATACCCAAAGACGATGCCAAGGTTAAAATAGTTTCTGCTCATTTGCAGAAGATCTTTCCTTCCTTTTAGTGCCAGCTCACTCTCTGAAAAGTAGCAGAAGTTTTTTCAATCTATTAAACTGTTAATCCAGCCAAGGGCTGTATTAACCAGGAAGACATGGGTCACAGGAACACAAGTCGTATGCCTAGAGTTACAATACCAGAGTTTACTGATAAACACATTTGTCAGTGCTTGTCTAGCTCTGCCTAGTTTTAAGGCCAGAACAATAGCTTTGTTGGATTTTTGGCCCATTGAAGATCAATCCACTAGAGTATAAAGCCCAATTCTCAGGTCTAAACATCCTCATTTGCTTCGAAGTTATTGTGATATTTAGTTATGAAATACAGATGTGTTCTTAAAACAAAAAAAGATGGCAGACTAGTCTGGTGAGTATTTTTTGGCTTAAGATTTCAGAAAGAAAAATGTGATGCCTAACCCAAAAACTGGAACAAAAATAAGCTGCAAAAGTAATAGTGGCTATGTGTTTTTCACGGCAAATAGCAGTGGGATTTGAGAGCGATGGTACAAATAGCAAAACACCTGACAGTGCTAAAGAAGATGTGTTAGCGCAATAACCTACTGGAAACGGTGACAAAAGACTATTTGTGAACACAACCAAGAGTTGTTATATTTCTGTGCGTCTTTCTGGCAACTACTGAAAGATTACAGAAAGTGATTTCAGATGGACTCGCTACAGAATCCAGCTCAGAATAATTTACGTTTGTCCTGCACAGAGAAATGAAAAAGAGTGTTCTTTGAGATACTACAGTCAGTGAAGACTGCACTGTGGAATGGGCATGTACCTCATATGCATAAACTGAAAATGTTCTGAACAGCAAATGTCAGGGCTTTATATCTTCTTTCTGCTTCCACTTGTTCCTGTGCAATGGTACAGAGACTGAGGCGACTATACCCTCTATAAATTCTCTCTCTCTGCAAAATCCTTGTTACCTGGGGACCCTGAAAGCCAGGCTGGAGGATGGTTACAGTATCCACACCGACTACAACATTATGAAAGCTACAGTTATGGTAGGGTCAGTAGCAATTCTTTCTTCTTGAGATAACAGTCAGTATGGATCCCACGAAAGGGGACTGAAAAGCAAGTCTCCTTCAAGATGATGACAAGATAACATTATATCATCTGAAGCGATGAGAGCAGCTTTTTAACTGAATCTGGTTTAGCAATTACCCTGGGTGTCTAACACTGGGTGAACCTGAGCAGGCTGTTTTCAATGCAGCCTAGTTTGACTTTTCTTGAGCTTTGGGAGAGGAAAAAAGATCTCTTGCCTAATAATCAACTAATGTACTCTCCCTCATTTCCTTACTACAAAGATGCATACTAATATGATGGCTCTAAATCCAAAACACAGTTTTATGTCCTCCAGAGTCCAGGTACCTTTAACCTGCAGTTAATCTAAGCAAGCTGGATGCATTGTACCAAGGTTCTTGCTGTGGCCCCCAGCTTTTGCTCATTCTCAGTGCTTATTTATAAACAATGAATCACCCCGCAGCTCCTTCAACTCTGGGACTGGACCTTTAGATCAGAGCAGCCCTCTCTACCTCTGTGACACCACCAATGAGATTAAACTGGTTTAGCTCCTGATGAGACTTAACTATCGTAGGGAAAGTAACGTAACCAAGAGTAGCCTGCAGCAAGGCAGGCAGCCTTCCCAAAACAAGCTGGCATTTACTGTTTAACTAGAGTACAAGAGTGCCCAAATCAGAACAGCTGGGCCAAATGAACAGTCCAGTACAGCAAGAAAAGCCATTCTGCCTAGCCATGTTCCTTTAGAATCCAAGGGGTCACTCTGTCCATGTCCCCTGATGCCCTTTACCAAGACTCTTTTGTCTCGTATTTTCATCCCAGTTATTAAAAACATACAATTTCAGTCACTGGGGTTTCCATTGCCCTTGCTAATGTGTTCCTTCCTTACGTGAACACCCACTTCAGTTCAAGCCAGACACCATTTATCCAAGTTTATGTTATGGGGACTGCTGACACCAGAGCTATGGCAGAAGCACTAGTGTGGCTAGAGCCACCTGGGGTTGCCATAGCCCTTCCAGTAGGAGTTCCTCTCTGCAACCCTGCTACCAGCTACTTCAGCTCCCCAGAATGACAGAATCTACCTTGGGCCAGCAAAGCAGTGTCATCTTTGTGGATTTTGCTGGCAGAACCATATCTACCATAGGATGTAATCTTTTCACATTACTGGCTGACAACTATGACCGCAAAGTCTGTAACATACACAAGACCCACTTTCCTTGGCCTTGGGCTAATGAAAATTAACCCACTCAGATACAGGTGAATATAAGCATGCAAGAAGATGGAGAAATTGAGGCTTGCATAATGATCATAGAAAACATTATAAATCAGTGCCATACTCTACAGAGCTTCACTCAATTCTAGATGCATCCATGATGAATACTCTATTTGGCAAGGGGGTCATGAATGTTATCCCATCTGGGACGCTGTATGGAGCTCAAAACGTACAAGGTGGTTTTGGGACTTTTTTTGCTCATCTGATGCTTGCAGGGGAACAGACTGACCTGACCTTGGGCAAAGTGTGATAAGCAGCATGATGTATTTACACAAGGACATATGGTCTAATAATGAAAGGCAAGTCTATAGTACCATAGAAAGGGTATAATTTACCAGGTTTGGAAAAGACTGAAGGAAGGGCAACCTCTTGTCTGGCACCCATCACTGTCATTGACCTACAAGCTATCCTACCCCCTACAAGCTCAATTAGCTGCGGTGGAATAGTAAGTGGTGATTTCTCACACATCAGCAGAAGGGCCCAGGTGCAGAAAGAGAGATGGTACAACTAAGACTTGTCAGAGCTTCCTGGTAAAACCTGCCTCTGATCCACCAGTCATCTACCTTTCTATTAAGTTTAAAGGACAGCAGCAGGAGAAAAATCTGTTTAGTTTGTATGAGTCTTCATTGTACATTTATTCCCCTCTAATTATCTGTAATTTCATACTGCTGGCAACCAAAATAAATCTAAATTGACAAAAAATGATATCAAGAGGCATTCAGAGGCAGACAGCACAGTTTAATACAAATAATAAAGTACCCAGCTAGAGAACCAACAAACACAGTTATAAAAAGCCAATAGGGAATACATGATAAATAGATGGCTATTGTGAGATACTGGCTAGGAAAGCGCTAGGACAGCTCAGAGTAATCCCCAAAGTATTTGGCTTTAAATGCAGCTGCACAGAGGAAAGTAAACAAGGATCTGCAAGTTCAGATGTATAAGCATTAGTACTGGGAAGTGCAGTTTAGAAAACTGGCTTGATATGAGGCACTCTCAAATTAGGGAACAGCAATGTTTCACTGTAGCAAAGATGACACCTATTGACACAGATTAGGTTATTTAAAATTCTACAAGAGAAAAGAAGCTAAACTAGATGGTGTAAGTGGAAATGTTTTTGCAATGACTTCACAGAGGTTTCTAAATTAGCAATCAAGTTAACCAATCAAAATCAGCCGAAACCAGAAGAGATCTCAAAAGCAGGTAAGATTTGCATACATGGTGATTTAGATAATCATTTTCAAACTTAGGGTAAATGGCAGTGGATACAGCTGTACTGGACATGCACCTGCTCTCCAGTCAGGAGTTGTCTCTCTCACTAGTGAAAGTACACTAGCAACTACCATAAGGGATTAATCTAAAGACATTCCTAAACAATAAACAATAGGTGCTGGAAAGAAACATAAGCTGATAACCAGATAGCCTCAGAACAGAAGACACGTCCTAACATAACATTTTCCAAAGTGAGAAGGAATGGCTGCAGTGGCCAGACTGCCCTTTCCATTGATCTTTTTGCCATTGTTTTAAAAAAAAAGACTATAGCTGTGATTGTTGCAAAGAGAAACTTTAAAGTGTCATCCATGCATAAAGAAAGGTGTGCCTGAGATGGCACAGAACCTGAAACAGTTTTCCCTGAGGTGTTTAACTCAAAGCTGCCTCTCAAATGTTCAACAATGGTAATTTTAAATGTCCACATTGTCAACTACTTTCAGTTTTAAAACATTCTGAGTAAGGCACAGTGAGAATTTATATCAGCTACTCCATAACCACAGCCCATGTGCACCCCGTGGCAATTTGCCTCTCAATGAAAGAATGCTAACTTACATTTACCATGACAAAAGAACACAGATGTGCCCAGCTCACATACTATAAAGTCATATCATGTTATCTTTTTCACAGAAAGGAATGAAATTACCATTATTCCCAAAGTATGTAAACCCCCCCATCCCTGCAGGCCACATGTGGCACCATAGAGATTGTGCCATTCAAAAAGGCATAAATTTTTCTAGGAGACAGCCTACTTCATCAGTTGCTACATACATATACTTCCATTACCTATATGTAGCATCTGATGAAGCAGTCTGTCACCTATGAAGGCTTACATCTTTCTGAATGAGTTAGTCTCTAAAGGTGCCACTCTGCCCTGCCTTCTTACTTAACACACTAGGGTTCATCATGTGTTCAGGTTAAGACAGACAACAAATAATAGTGCTCTCAAACTGTACAGGAAGTTTTACCTGGATGCAGGATATGAATGGTGGGAAGTAAGAAACACTTATACTCAGGAAGTCATTGAAGTTCTGCAGCAGCTTCTGGACAATGTGGTTTTTTTCAGAAGGACTTTTAGAATTTTCCATTTCTTTTAGAATTCCACTAAACAAACTGCTGAAGAGCTGCTTGGCTAGTGTTGGATCTCTCTGTAAATTATAAGATAACCAATAAGACCAATGGTGTAAGTGACTAAGGGCCTGTCTACACTGGGACGTTACTGCAAAATGAGTGAGGGTATACATTTACAAGGCAACAGCTACTCTGTGGTTAACTATATGGACATTCTTTGAAAGTGGGTTACGCTACCTCTCAATACGCATCACAATGTCTACATAGAGAAGCTAGCACTACCTTCTTCTCAGCAACATTACATTAAGAACTAGAGAAGGTAATGGTCTCTTCCACATATACTACCCAATTTCCTAGGGAATTTCTCGAGGGGAAGACATGCCTCTAAAGACATATGATTCTGCCTGAAAACAGAATAGGAAGCCATCAACATGCAAAAATCCTAGAGCCTCCCAGGAGGGGAGAAAATGCAAAGAGCTTCCATAGATGTCTTGAACCTGGTTAGAGGCCCACAGACGTTACAGAACCAATACCCACCCAGAATTATTCCCACAGCCTAATCATGCACTGCATCTTCCTCCTTCTCCTTTGCTATGCAGTGATAAAGAAGCAGAGAGAACAGCCAAGGATGCTGAAGTACCTGACCACTAAGTGATAAGAGTCTATCTAGTCCACAACTTTTGCTGTTTCCCCTTTAGGAATGAGTAAAAAGCCATATTCATTTTTGTAGTTCTTGCCCTTTGAATAGAACCACTCTCTCAGATCTATGACAACCCCCATACAGCTTGCAAGGGAGCAGAAATAGCTGTCTTGTCACTGTGTGAGAGTGATAACCCCCCCACACCAACCTGGTCAGCAAGACTTAGTAAGGGTGGTGCCAACTTTTCCTCCTGCAGCAACACAGCAGGTTGCATAGGCTTTCTTTATTTGCTTTGGAGGCCTGGACACAAACAATAGCTCAACACGTCCAGGAGAAAAAGGTAGCAGCTGTTCAGAAATCTTCACCACTGGAACCCAGCACCTCCTGCAAAGCTGTCCACCAGGTTCTTCCTCTTCTCAAGAGCTACTATGGCATTAAACGAGGTACTGGTCTCACGTTCCCCTCATCTTAGCAGTGTTCAGCACAAAATTCCATAGCCAGAACATGTGCACAGCACACAAATGTGCACACACCAAGAGCTTCAGCTATCTCAAAGGGTTTTACCACATCTATACATTTGTAAACACTCTTAACTGGGCTTCTCACTCTTTAATTGCTCAAATTTGAGTCACCTTCAAAGTTGTCTCTCTTATATAAAGTTGTCTTTATATAAACAGAAAGAGCTATACAGATATAGATACAATGAGTACTGTGAAAAAATCCTGTGTCCATTTTCCCACCCCACACTTTGTTTTGCAAAGAAGTGTCAAAATACTGAATTAACAATCTTTGAACAAATGACAGACCTGGGCCACACCCTGCAATGGAGTGATGAGGCTGCTGTATTCAATCTGGATGTCAGGAAGGTCTCCTTGTCGGTAACTTCTGTACAAAGTGACCTGGGCATCACGTTTCATTGTCAGCTCACTTTTAATCTCCTGCAACAGTTGCCAGTAAAAAAAAAAAAAAAAAAAAAAAAAAAAAAAAAAAAAAAAAAAAAGCAGTATTGGTTATGTACAGTGGGGGGAAAAAGATCATATAATGCCCCCCTTGACATTTTTAACCATCAGTGGAGATATAAAAATGAGAAGAAATTAATGCACCCTTCAAGTAATCCCAAAAGCATTTAATAATTCAGATTTTAGAAAACACACACATCTCTTCCCAAAGCCACCTCAGTCATTTACATAGTACCAATAATGTATCTAACTTGTTTACACAAAGAAATGGTCAATCACAAATCCGTATTTCAACTGAAAGCTAAACAAGCACAAATCCATCTGTCTTGAGTTTAAGAATGTCTTGTTTCAGCTTATCTCAACCAATTCTTAATTGATTGGAACTAATCTTAAACTCAAATAGGAATGTATATACAGTTTTTCCCTAACCAAATCTGTTTAAATTAAACTGCACAAAGTTTTACATTTAGATTAGCCCTTACCTGTCTCCCTCTCACCCCTTTACCATATCTGAAAATATTGGTGAGGTCTGAAGGAATTAGCAGGTTTTTTGTTGTTTGCTTGTTTGTTGTTAAAGGACTTGAGAGTTAGTTCCTTCTTTAATCATCACTCCTGCTGTCTGAATCAACTAGAACTGGATCCAGTCTCTCCATTTTTCTTTAATAAGAACGCACACTGATGTGGGGAAGAATCTGAAATCCTTATTTTTCCATCTCTCTCTCTACTTTTTCAGCCTGCTCCTTAAATGGACAGCCTAAAAATTCCCAGAGATACTATGGGGGTATAACCAGGCCACGGCCAAAACTCCAGCATAGTCAGTTTTTTCTTGGCCAGCACCCAGTACCTCCTGATGCACCTTCTGACATGGGAGCCACTGCTCTTTGTGCACATCCTCTTGTCCAGCTCTACCTACTTCCCAGTAACAGTATAATAATATAAAATATAATATAAAAATAATATATAATATACAATATAAAATAATGAATATATTAAAAACTATTCTATATTATATATTATTTATTGCTTTAGTATATAAAGTTATAATATATAATATAAAATAATATAAAAATATTATTTTTATTAAATAAAATTCTCTTTAAACTTTACAGTCCTCAAAAATATGAGAAAGATTAATGTTAAGCACTACTGATCATTTTACCAAGAACAGAAAAATGGTTATCTGTACAGGAAATACAGTATCACCTTCGTGTAGGCTAAAATACACTATGTCACATTTAAGGCCTACTCTATTAGTCATGTCACATACTGTCTTCTCTATACTATAATGACAGAGGATGAACTTAATCTGAGATTCTTAATTTCTAGCATGAGTACCTAAAATCAAACAGTTTCCTAAATATGGATTTACAGTAAGTGAAAGTGCCTTGATTTGCCAAAGCAAATAGCTTCTCAGCTCTCAGTGTAAGTAATAGGAAATGTTGGTCATCGTCACCTCTAATTATCAGGCTCTTCTTACTTAGATTCCTACTGAGATTTAGGTGTCAGTCATTTAACACCTAAATTTAAGAAATACACCTCCTTGGGTAAATCTGGTATCTTTTATTAAACTAACTAAAATAATATTAGATAAAAGATACCAGATTTACCCAACGAGGCATATTTCTTAAATTTAGGTGTTAAATGACTAGTTTATTAGACCAACTAATATTATTTCAGATGGTCTAATAAAAGATATCAGATTTACCCAAAGAACCTTGTTTGTCTATGTCCTTAGATCAACACAGCTACAACCAATACCCCAGAAATATGCCTCATCAGTCAGGAAATGTTTAAGTAACAGATTTTGACAGCAAGGCATAACAACTGAAATTCAGAGTTAAGAAAAACTCTTCCATTTTTCACATATGTCAGCACTCCCAGGGACTGGGATACATTGAAAATAAATAAATAAATAAAACCCCATAGTACAATATGTACATGCTTGCAGGGAATTCTCTCTTTAAAATAGAAACTCAAGTTCTTCCTTACCCTGTACTTTTACCTACACACAAACATAGCTGCTTGGAATACACATAACATCCCTGCAAACTGCAAGAGAAACTCCAGAGACACCCATTCACCACACAGATAGCTTGCTAAGCGTATAATGCTTTTAGAAATAAAGCATCAACTTTGCCTAGACAGCAGAAGCATCCAAGGAACCCTTTCAGTCTTAACACCAAATTAGGTAAACAAACCTTTTCTCGTTTCTGTTCAGCTACACCTTTCCTTGCATAAATCACGCTGAGTTTCTCTTGGTCCTTCAAGAAACGCCTCTGCAGCCTTAGGATTTCTGCCCGTTCATTTATATCTAGTGCACAGAGCAAGAATGTATTTTTACCCCAGTTCACCTGTTTTGATGAAGATGTATCCATCCATCTAGCTATCCAGTTTCCAAACTGCCTTAATTTTGGATACCCATTTTCAAATCTTAGGCAAAGCAGCATGGAATAACAGCAGGCTGTTTTTGAACAGCCTAACACAGTTATGGCCAACTTCTTTGACAAGCATGGCATAAGTTAAGCCCCCACTCTCCCCAAGTGCCACTAGTACCTCCATGTCCCCTCCAGTGGCATACCTGAGAGTCTGCATCTTGGGGTGCCAGGAGGGCAGCAAGGGGCTCAAGTCTCCAGCCCTGTGGAGTAGGACAATGGCAGGATGCTGCTGCGAGAGGTGGTGTCACCAGTAAGAACAAGGTTAATCCTTCCTGTCTGCTGCAAACACTGCCATTCTATACGGTGAGTGATGATCCAAAGCCCTTAATTTGGTAGCAATTGCATGGCCAAGGAAGTCTTAACTTGATTCTTGGTCGTGACTACACTTTTCACAAAAGGGTCCTGCCAGCTCTCCACTCCATGCAGCCAGAGGCTTGAGCCCCACCCCGCCTCTGTACCAGCACCCCCTTTACAGAACAGACAGGGTTTGCATGCCCCAAATAGTGGCTCTGTGGCGCACACTGCAGGTTGGTCACCCATTGTATTGCTTTACATGGTCTGGGCTTAGAATTAAAAAGAAAAACAAAGTAAGAGGATTTCTTGTAATAAAGTGTGGAAAATTACTGCTGTGCACTAGTTGTGCATGGGAACTTTGGTGAGGGGGTCTCAGGGCTGGGGGGGGGAGGGGTTCCCCATCTCCCTTATCAGCTGCGACAGCTTCATTATTTTGTGACCACAACTGTAACAGGTGAGATGTCTTTACCCTGTGCCAGCCTTAGTTCAGGCACGTAAAAAGATACTTTGTGTGGTTGCCAGAGTGACAGCTTCAGGGCCCACACTTCCCAAGTGACAGACCTGCTGCAGGACCTGGGAATAGAGGAAAACTCTGAATGTGCCACTTCATGAGGCCTTGCAGATGCCAGAGTCTGTGCACCCTTGGGCAATTGCATGCCAAAGCCTGCCTGCAAGGTGTCACTAGGATCTCCTGAAACAGCCTGATTCCTCCTCACTGGGCAGACCCTTCAGCAAATTGGTTGTCCACATTGCACCCTCAGGGTCTGGGCAATTCCATGGGCAGCAGGATGAAGTATCCTGGAAGGCAGCTAGGGCAGTGCCAACCCACAGCATCCTGGTATCAGGACTCCTTGTGGGGCAGTGATACTGGAACCATAGGTGTGGGTATAACTAGGGGCACGCAGGATGGAGGGTTCAGTGTGGGGAGTCACTGGGGCACATAGAACTGCATGAGGGGTGCCCTGCTCTGTTTCTGGGGGTACCAGGAACTAACAAGTTTTGCACCCCAGACAAAACAGGGACCTGTCTGTGCCCTATTGGGGAGTGGGGGGGGGGGGGGGGGGGGGGGGAAGGAGTGCTGAGCACTGGAGAGCAGGAAGAGAAAAAGGAGGGTGGTCAGTCTTACCTTTCCTGGGAAGGAAAAGATCTTAGCTGCTGCTACAGTTGTGTCTTGTACTCAGCCCCTGCAGCCAGGAGGCAGGGGGCTGTGCTTACATGCAGTCCCTTTGGCTGGGAAGCAGAGGGCTGTGTCCCGCATGTAGCCTCACCAGCCAGGAAGCAGGAGCTGCATTCTACACATAGCTGTTCCAGCTGGGAAGCAGGGGCTGTGTACTGCACCCAGTCCCTCCAGCTGGGAAACAGGGTATTGTGTCCTGTACCCAGCCCTGCCAGCTGAGCAGCATGGGATCTGTCCAGCACTCAGTCCCTCCTTCCAGGTGGTACTGGACTGCTTCTGCCCAGCCCTACTCAGCTAGAGAGGTTTTCTGCAAAGCAGGTCAGCAGGGACAGTGCAGAGCCCACCTGTTTTTCTGTGCCCTCCTTGCTCGCAGCTCTGCTCCTACCCTGCTCCCACCTCTTCTTTCCCCTTTCACTCCTAGCAGCCTGTATCCACCACGTTAACCTTGGATCTAAAAAACTGTGAAATTGTTTGAAAATGAAAAACTTTTACAAAGGTTTACAAGTGTAAACTTTGAGTGTCTTTACAGGGAGAGCCAGTGAAATCTGAAACACAAAGAATCAGAAATTTCCTAACAGCTCTTGATTATCAGGAAACAAACACTGGTAGAAGACATGAAAATTTTGTTGATCAGACTACCATTTTAGCTTGGCATTTTGCAGACACTCAAGTAACTCCACTAATCTACTATTTCCCTATAGTTTGAACACCAGATATACTGAGCAGCAAATTTGAGGCTGTTTTCATTAGAATGTCCCAAGGGTGATGTCCTGCCAGCCAATTCAGTGGTATAAAGCAAGTTAAACACAAAATAAAACATCTTATTGACAATGACAGTGATACCTTTAGTAGTGCTGTCAACCTCATCTCCAGGCAAGCCCAATTTTTTCTTCCCAAAATTGGGCCCCACTGGTTTCAAGGTTCCTCTCTGTGACTTTTCACTTCGCTTGTTAACAAACAGCATGGATGAAGATAAGGATTCAGAGGATGAGGGAACTGTATATTCTGTCAAAGTGTCAATGCTGCTTCCAGTTAGCCAATTAAAAGATTTTCTACCACCTATAAAAAGCAAAAAACCCACCACGTTCAGCTTATTATATAAATTAAAAGAGTAATGAAAGGAAGAATCACCCTTCTTTACAAAAAACATAGGTCCCATATTCACACCAATTACTAGGAAACATGCTGCATTTGTATCTAAATAGACAGAATAGGAATTAAATGCGAAGTTGGGAAGTTCACATTTTAATTGAGAAGCATATTAGGGGGGAAAAATAGTCAACCAAAGGAAAATTAATGTGTTTGCCTTTTTATTTTTAAAAAAGAAGAAATTGGTAGCAAATTTTAATTTTACAACTGATTAGAGAGTGCTAGAATTTAAAAAAAGAAAATATTATTTTAATCACCTCTTGCTTTAAAGAAAAACTACACACAAGAGGAAGAAGAACAGAACTGTTTGTTTGTTGAACAAGACAGTCCCAGAGCCTGCTGATGTGTACTTACTCATGTTCTGCGTAGGTGTAAATTCATATTGCTGCTGAGTAGCCCTCACTTGAGCACCTAGTGATCCAGGAGTTGACAGGGACCCTTCCTGTGACCTCTTCCTGCTGGCACTCTGGGAAGCCTGAGTCTCCACAAACATTGGGGTGAGAATAGTACTTCGATAACGCCAGTTGGAATCAATTATGAAGTCCTACCCATGTAAAAGAAATAGTAAGATATTGATGAGAACAAGTCAAATCAAAGTTCTCTTCTTCACTGAGAAAGAAAGGTTAATACACAGCAAAACAGAATTTTAAAATCTGAAACCAGGCACAACAGAGATGCAGCTTCTTTAACATAAAATGACATATAATAGCAATATGGAATGCTACTGCCTCCAATACAAATTTGTCCTTTGACAGAGGGATAAAAACGTGCATCTTCCTATTCACTTCTTCGTCTTGGTTTTCCAATTCATGGCATTTCCCCATTTTCTTTAAATTTAAACACAAGCCAGTTCTAGCCTACAAAATGGATCTCCAGCAATTGCAATCGTAACTACTTCAGGTATAATTAAATACAGAGGCTGCTTCTTTAAAAAAAAGTTTGTAATACAGATATGAAGTTACTCTTTCAATATAAATACCAAACTTCTAAGAACTTGAATAACCCATGGCTGTCACAGATGATGCCTCTGGAGAACCTGCATCTCTATCACCACTTTAGCTTCATTTAACTATATTAACACTGCACAGTTTTATAGGAGACAGTTTATATATTTACCTGAAATCTACATTCAGAAAGTGGATGCTCAAATATTTTTCTGGAATAATCTGGACTCTTGCTGGTCATTTCAAGCAGAAAATTTGTGGCTAAGCTCAGGTACTGGGTTTCAGTCTTGGTAGAATATAAAGAATTTAGCAAAGCCAACATACGGTCAAGAGTATTTGTAGGTAACCTAGTTTCATCACTCCAAAAATTTCTAACAACTAATCTGTGAAGGCAAGTAAAAAAAAAAAATTTTTGGACATCTGCAAAAGAGGATATTATGGATTTACATAATGCTCAACTCAAAAACGGTCCATTTATTTTAACCTGTTAAGTAGCAAATATTGACATATAAGGATTAAATATACAACGTCCGACTAACCCTTTAGCCCCCACAACCTCATACCGGCTTAAGTTAACCATCTCATTTTACTACCCCCTCTCCAACTGTCTTTTCAATGTACACTTCATTTAAAAAATATTTACAACCTTAGATTACAACAATTCATGTTTTTATACTTGATACATATTTATTTTATACTTCAGTTTTACTTATGGTCTTGAAATAGTTTTCTTCCAAACGAAACAATGGGCACACAGGTATCTAACAACATTTTCACTGTCCTCTGCTTCACTAGAAAAGTTAATAAAGAAACTGTCTATGGCTCTGGATCTATTCATGTTTATGTATCAATGCATTTTGTGCTGACTCATACACCCTGTGGGAGTGTGTACACATGCAAGTAATGCAAGTGAATAAACTCCAGTGCTATCTGAGCTGGAGTAACCTGATCCCAATGCCACTGTCTACATGTGTGTTTAAGTACAACAATTTACTCCACCACTGGATAGGTACCTGTGTCTGATGGCACTGCCCGGTGGTGCTGTAAAATTAGTCTACACCAGCCCAAATGCCGTGTGTGTATAGATGCTTTACTGTGTAGTAAATTAGTCTACTGTGCCATAAGGTGCATATGTAGACACTCCCTGTAATATTAAATATAATATAAACTGAAACTAAACTAACTGAAACAGCCAAATTAATTTGGATGTACCTTTGGAAAAACAGCCTTTGGACTAAACTCTTCCATTTTTAAAGTTGACTATTTCAGCTACGTACACACTTTCAAAAAGATAGACTGTGTTTTGCCTGTACCTGTCGAAGCTGACATTACAAGTGGCATTACACCAACAAAACGGGGGGAGTAGTGAGAATAGCATCTTATTCTCTTTGTGAAATATAACTCAAAACCTTGGACGACACAGTTTTATCTATTTCAATATACAATAAAAATAGAACTTAAGAAAAAAAAAAACAAATAACCCCTTGAGAAACAAACAAACAAAACTCTTAAGTAATATTCCATTATTACAGTTCAATACACCCTCTACATGGTTCAGAAACCTGTTAAGAAACAAAAAAGATCTTGGTATTCGACATAAAAACCAAATTAAAAACAAAGGAATTCAGTACAGTGTCATTTTAGATGATCCCGCACATTATTTTGACTTACTGTAATTCAGAGATCTCATCAGTTAGGCCCTGTATCAGCATTTCTTTTGCCACTTTAAACACTTCCTGAGAATCCTCATCAGCTTGACTTTCTGAATTCCTAATTGTAAAACCAAAAAAGTCTGTTTTTAACTCTAGTCTGAAATAAGCTGCAAAAAAGAATCCATTGAAGCAAAGAAAGCACTATTCCCTGACAGGTCTCATCTTGGCCTGAAGGCAGTGCAGATGGTTCATATAAGGTGCCTTGATGGCAAAAAAAGGTTTCTTCAGAGAAAAAGATAACCAATATGAATTAATTTGCTTCCACGTGGAGAGAGGGTATTTTTTCTGCCATTTGGTAAGGTAAGGCCAGATCTGGATGGACGATATAGCAAAAGGAAGTCAGCAAAGGAAAAGCTCAGGGCAGCAAAGGAAGTCACCTATATTGCAGGAAAAAATACATGCATTTTCTCTTCACTTGGGTTTTGCAATGAGTTCAGAACCACATTAGTTATCTTGCTATAAACATACCACTCTTTTTGGCAGTGAAGATAACCACACAACACCAAAGCTTAATAAGTGACCAGTAGATATTAGGAGTGTGTGGAACAGGCCATATTCTATTTGGATTCTGCCCTAATGGGGGAAAACAATTCCATTAGTTGATTCGGATCACTGTCCCGATTAGATTAAGCTGAATCCTAATCTGAAGATTTGATGCTGATTCAGAGAATCAGCAATTCGACTACAGACACAGCTTTAAATGTTTTTTCTACATCTCCCCCCCACCCCAGTGTGCTTGGCGGCGAGCCCAGAAGTGGACTTGAACTACTTCTGGTCAGCTTCCAGGTCCACTGCCAAGTGCACTGGGGGCCCCCCCCCGTGCTTCCCCAGCTTCCGGGAAACACCAGTTGCCGAGCCAGGGGAGGACCCAGAAGTTCTTCTGGTCCACTTCCAGGTCTGCTGCTGAGTGCACTGAGGACCCTCCTGTGCTCCTGTGGGACATTCCATCTGCCCCACCATCGCAGCATTCACGAGCTATTTGGTACCTTGAGGTATGCAGAAACACATTTAAAGCTGTGCTTATGTCTGAATCATCAAATGTTTCCGAATCAATTCAGAGGGTTCCAATTCTATTCAGAGAGATTAAAGGGTCTCCTGATTCGATCTGGATTCAGAGATTCGGCCACCAAATTGGACCACATTTCCACCAAATCAAACCAGCGTCTGAAGCTTCACACAGTCCTAGTAGATATGTGTTCCTAAAGAGCGGTGAAGGAGAGTTGTGATATAGATATGATCAAAGATAGTCTACTTTTAAAGGAGAGGCAGAAACAAACCAAGCCAGGCAAAACATTACTACCAGAATTTTGAGAGGAGACAACAGACTTCATGTACCTAAATCTGCTAGACCCTGTGCATCCTCAATTCCTAATTAAATGTTTTGCCAGCACAGGCTGTACACAGCAACAATGGGAGGTTGAGAACATTTGTTTTAGAGTATTATTTTCAGAGAGAAAAGAAGAAAATACAACCACATTCTAAAAAGCTAACAATTTTGTACGAGAAAATGAAATTTGGTACTTATTATGAAAGTGTTTTAAGAACATTAATTCATTCCTTACATTGATGACCATCATAATTAAACACCAGCATTTTATACGTGGGGTAACAGAAGCAGACACTTCTGCAAGATTTTTCTAAAGTCAAAGAATTTTCTGCTTCCTGTGCTGTACCCACACCTTCCCTCCCACTATATGAGAGGATTAAGGCTAGTCAGAACACTTTTATATAAAATGCTCTTAAAATGGTTGAAAAAGCATACTTGTAACTGAATCCATACCTGTAGTTATCATAAATCCACATCATGATGTCATACGTGCGCTCTCGACAAACTGGAGAAGGGTGAGAGATAAACCCTGTTACTCCAGGCAGAAGTTCTCTTAGTTCCAGTGGTTTTAGCTTAGAAAGCATCTTGTATATTATATCCAAACACACTCTCTGCCTCTCATCATCTCTAAAAGGGACAACACACAACTGCATTGTTTTCATATTCTGTTCACAACCAAACACAAATTGAAGTTCATGTATTTTCAGCACTATTGTCTGATTCCATAAAACTACTTTAAGTTTAAACACAACTATTAACTTAAATTCCCAGTCCCAATGCAGTCAAAGAGTCAGTTCCTATGCCTGAAGAAGGGCGACTGTGCCCAAAAGCTTGCAAAAAACTTTTTTCCAACTACTCAGTTGGTCTAATAAAAGATATCACACCTACCCAAAGAACCCTGACTGCCTATGTCCTTAGACCAACACAGCTACAACCAAAAACCCAGTTAGGATCGAGTCAGTTGAGATTCCACTCTAACGGTAATAAGGACTAAACGAAGTCTAAACTTAAACAGAAGATGTAAAATATTTGACAGGCTTACATTTGCTCAAAGAGGAGAGCCATGCCCTCAAGGAAGCCCAATATGCAGCTGTAAATATGTAAGGAATTTAAAACTTGCAACTGGTTACTAGAAAAAGATGCTGGTGTAAAGATTTTGCCATGGCTGTTCAGATCAGCATGCACTGACCATATGCCAACTTACCTGCGATTCATGACCTGCAAAAAATCTTTGCTCTTTAACTGTAAGTAGAGATCAGTTATCTCTTCTGCACGGCACATCACCACTTCCAAACAAGAAGTTTTCAGCACACCATGAAGTTTCGGTAACAGAAAGAACACAGCATTTATAAACCTTGATAAGAGCACAAAAACAGGTCAGAAGTTATTTCTATTTGGAAATGATTTTATATCCAGAGAGTACATACCATACAATCTATGATGTACCTGTCAGCCACAGGAGGAAAATTCTTCACTACTTTATTCAAGCAGAGAATAAACTTGTCTTCCTTGGTGTTTTGATGCTGTTTTAATTGCTTTACAACACAGTCATAAATTGGACCCTCAGTTATCTGAAAGAACCGAAATGCTGTAATATTAAATAAACCTAACTGCCATAACATTAAAAACAATCAAATGACTGTATAGAACTGTTACAGTGGGAATTAATTTTAGTGATAGTGAAACTTCAGAGGCAGATGTTAAAGTGCATACCCTTAACATGCATGAAGACAACTCACAGCATAAATACAAGTCTGGATGAAATACATATTGCCTGATTTAGCACTGGCACCAAATAACAAGCTGAAAGTTTCTACTTATTATGTAGGGAGCAAAAGGTTTTAATCTGAAGGAAAGTCACTTGGTATTCTTATTATTAATGGCAAGTAATCTCTGATTTAGTGTGGCATGTCTCCATTAGGGATGCAACTTAAGATAGCATAAAACACAAAACAATTTTTCATTAAAATAAATTTGGCTTACTGTCAAAGGATAATGTACACCAAAAACAATTAACACTATGCTTTATTTCATCATTCAAAAATTACTGTTTTTAAAAGAAAAGAGGAATTAGTTAAGACTCAGAGGGCATTTGCACACATGCGAGGAGCCTGCTCCAACGCGCTGGAAATTCAGCATGTTGGAGCAGACTCTTATTCAAGTCTACTGGAGCATGTAAATTGATGTGCTCTAGCAGTGTCGCATATTAGCAGCGCAATGCACCTCCGCATTGAACAAATGGTGGCGGTGCGCTTTGAACTAACACATTTTCGATGTGCTATAGTTCAAAGTGCACCACCACCATCTTCCCAGCGCAGCGATGCACTTCAACACTGATACACATAACACGTGGGCACTTTTAATTAGCAAAGCTCTCTAAAAAGCACCCGGTGCCACATCGGAAATACATATAAAAATGCCCCAAGTGAGAAAAGGTCAAGACTGATAGACCTAACATTTCCTACAGAAAAGAAAGTAGACAGGGAAGACAGCTATGTACTTTACTTAGAGGAATTACACAAAACATGTCCAATGGCAGGAGTCAACAATATTAATGCATTCAAAGGCCCTGTTTACAGGCTCTTAGCTATAGAGAGCACCATAAGGATACCCCAAATTTTCACATTTCTTTTACCTTCCTTAAAAATACTGTGTTATTCCCCTTGGTAGAGAGAAGGTGAACAAACAGTGCTCAGAAACCCAGGTCCTGCAACCTCCCAGGGCCAACTGCTGAGAATGGAGACAAGGCATTGACAACCTATGTTAATCTGATCCTGAATTTTAATCTCCACCTGATAATATCTTCTACTGCCACTTTACCATGGAGAAGGCCTCAGCATATTTAACATTTTCAAGCTAGAATTGGGTAGTCACCTTATATAGAAAGTGTCATTAATATAGAATGATAAGAAGTCATGATGTAATACACTCACATTTTCCTTCTCAGCAATGTATCGAAGAGTAAGTCCCAACACTTCTGCTGCAGCTGCATAGACTTCCTTATATTTTAATAAAGCCATGTTATTGACCAGAGCCTGAAAATACCTAGTATACAAAAGAAATATGCTGTGATCCATTCCCCTTGATTTTCCATTAATATCTGATGAATAACAAAAAATATAGCCATATTCTCTACCGCTTCTATATTCATAGACTTAACTGTAGACTTTGTAGAGCAATTACATTAATATGTCATATCCATGAAGGTCACAGGGAACCTTTCAGATCTTTTCCTTAAATCCCCATTTTGATCCTTTCTGACTCCAGCAGGTGCCAGAGAGCTTGCTAACTGCAAAAGAAAGGACTAAAACAGGGCCAGTGCAAACATACTCCCGCCAGTTCATCTCCAAGAGTAAAATGAGGGCCGTAGAGTTTGCTATATGGGACTTGTTACAAATAAATGTTTATGTGGGGTGGGGGCTGAGGTTGTGAAGAGATACGAATAATCCAAACCCCACCCTCCATGATGCCAAATTCAGTATTGCTTCTCTCATCAAAATGAACTCCCTCACAAAATTCACTGCTCACCTTGTACTATCTATTTCACATTTTGGGTCATAGGGAGGCAAGTTATTAGCAAGAACAATGCCTAACAGTTGAATTCCTACTGAGTTGTCTTTTGTTTCAGGATCTCCTCCAGAAAACTGTTCAAATATTAACCTGTAACAAAAATATATACAGAAAAAGGTGTGTATGACATCTACAGGTCAAAGACAGTACATTACAGAAGACTGAATAAATCCGGTGACAGATCTGAATCTAAGAAAACAGTAACTTATTGCGAGAGTAATTGTAACAAAAAAATGCAAAGCCCCTGCCCCCAATCTTCCCTACCACAAATCATTTATTCTTTAATTTACAGGGTCTCTCTTTGATGATGAAACACTGCTAAGGTTGTAAGTTACTTGTATAAATATCAGACAAAAATTGTTCTTCTAGTATTCTGCCATGCTTTAGGTATTCCATTTCCAGGAAGCCCTGTACTTCTCATTTCTCAAGGTTATTTTGCAACCTGAATTCTGTTCTCCTGCATATGCAACACCTCTGCAGTTTTCCACCTCTGCATTTCTGGCACTAACACCAGAGGGAACTTCAATACTGCAGATGAGCTTACTCCAGAAAGACAAAACAGTAGGCACAGCAGAGATGAAAATCCACCAGTATTATACATGCAAACAGAGATGATCAAAGAACTAAAAACTCTCTGGAGAGGCTTGGATTGGGTTAAAACAAAACAAAACACCATCACCAGAAAGCTAACAGATGCTAATAAATGATCCAGTACTATCATCCATGGAAGTACTGGATCAAATCCTAGGATAGCATGGAATTTTTGCAACCACCATTCAAGAACTAATGCCCTAATCCTTTCACATCTACAAACCTATGTCTGGATTTGCTCTAGATTCTCTGCAAACTTAGAGAAAAAATGTACCTTCATTAAGTTAGTACTACCTGTAAGGTACAGTGAGACAATCTTTCCAGCACTCCACAACTGTCTTTATAATTTCCAAGTTGTGTCTGAACACTGCTCTTTTCTGGTGAAATGCATTCTTCATCAAGAATTCAAGCAATCGATTAGCGAGGATTTCATCTTTAACATTCCCCTAGCATGAAAACAAACGAACAGCAACACAGAATTTCTATATACAACTGTCAAATTGATCTTATTTTAGAATCAAAACACAAACAGATGTAATGCTCAGAATACTATAATATAAGGACCTCCATTCTAATTAGGCATTCTATCAGCTGGGCTTCATTTTAAATGGGAAAAGAGTTAGACATGAGTAGCTGACATGATGCTAACCACAAACTGTCTATACTGACTCCCAAGTCCTAATCAATATGGGTGCTGACCAATTTAATTCTTCACATTGTTTTTGACCCAGTATGATTTTGCAGTGAAGTCAAGGTCAGAATTCAGCAGAAATGGAGTTGCTTTATGAGGAGCTCTGACACCTGTTGACAGGATGGGTCAAGCAAAAATATAGCCTAACTCATATCCAGCCAGCAAAAGAGAGAATACATCCAAACCACTCCTTCTTGCTGGTAGTACAATATTGCTCTATGAACAATAGAAAGCTTCTGCCACCACAGGAAAGCTGCCACAGAACAAGGGAAGACATGTCCATGCTTTTTGCTGACAGCTATAGCCCTTTTCCACAATAGTGCCTTCCAGGTACACTGTATACCCTACTAACAACAAGCCATCTGCTTACAGAAGACCTGTAGCACAGACAAGCTCTAAGTTACTCAACATTCATTTATCTTTGATAAAATGGTAAGAACGTGGTTTTCAACACACATCTGTGAAAACTTAATATTCAACTACAGCAAGACATGACAGTGTCATCTCTAAGTCCATAAATACATATTTGTCAAGTATGCTGTAGTCTGCTGCATTTAAATGGCATGAAGTATCTGTTAGCAGACCAAAACAATCTGGGATGCCCACTGCTCAACAAGCTGCTCTCAATGTATGGGCACAGATTCTTTGATTAAAATCCTAAACTTTTTTCTTAAACTGATCGAGCTGTTTATATTGACTATGAAAAAAGAAAAGAAAAAAAACACATTAAGGAGGGATGGAATAAAACCATTACATATACTCCATTTTACCTAATGGCATACAACTATAATGTTCTCCATTTCCTTACTTTGGGAGAAGCTACATTAGTCCAAGAAAGCAGAGTAACTACTATTTCCACCACCATGTAATGAATCCTCTCTCCTCCATTATCCCGAGAAACAACAAGTTGCAACAAGGGACCAAGCCAATGCCTTGCATAAGGTCGGAAAACCTAGAGAGAATAAAGAACAAACAATGAACTCTAAAACTAACTTAGTATTGAAGAAGTTAATGCATTAAGACATAAAATCCTATTAAATTCACGTTTTCAACACAGTTTTTACCTCATTTCCTCCAAAAAAATAAACTGCAGGGATTAAAAAAAAAATCTTAATAAAATTTCCTTATTGTAATTATATTTGCTGCTTGTTCTTTCTGCTTACAAGCCTTCAACATTGATGTTCATAATAAATTATTTTTCTTTCATTGGAGCCCACTAAATATAGCAATTATACCAGTGTTTCACATACAGAGCCCCCCTCCAAAGGGAAGTAACCCACACCTGCACATAAAAATACATACTGTTCAAATTGTTACTCTAGAGATTTGTTACTACACTGGTTTTGAAATGTTATGAAATGCAGTAGTTTTAATACTTTGGATCTGATATGCACTGGAAGGTGAAAGTTATGATACAAGTATCTAAAGCAAGTAAGAGTACTCAGCTTTAAAGAAACTGATCCAGGTAGGGTAGAAATACATTAGCTTGGACCAGGAAGAGAAAGCATTTCCTCAGTAATTACAGGAGAACCATACACATTCGTATGTTATTGAAATTAGACCTATGCAAAAATCAAATGGTTTTATTCAATAAGGTTTTCCCCACATTAATTTATATAAATCAATATCACCCAGTTTTCACCTGAAGGCTAAGCCGGCAATGCTTTCCTTCAGTAGGGCTAAGTAACAAAAGCTGAACCCAGAAAAACTTAGTCTGAAATGGGGTTTGTCCTAAAAGGCTTATGCAGCTGCAATTATAATTTAAGACTGTATTTAAGCAAAAAGAATCAGAACTTAATGCAATGAAACTACTCACCTCCTCAGTATTAACAATAAGTTTTGCTAAGAAGAGGCGAATGTTTAATGGTACTGATGGGTTCCCCAATTTGCTATGCAGGAACTTCATCCATGGAGGAAGGGCTACTGGAACTGCCCCCTGTAATCAAAATGAAAAGCTTCCCTTAAAATACGAGCAACTTAAAATTACCAAAGAAGAAACAGAAGGTTTTACTCTACTACAACCACAAACACTACAAAGCAAGGTTTCCATTATAAACCCCTTTCTTGGCATCATATTTGTAACTAGTGGGCTAGGCCATTAAACAGTACTGACCTCATCTACTTTGGGTGTTATCTGATTTCTCTGCATATGTTTAATCAGGGTTGTCATAGCTGTCATACATTCATGTTGATTGAGCTCATCCATCTCGAGTTCCATTTCATCATCTAGAACCATGGACTCAGTGGATTCCTGTACAAAAAAGGATAGTGCTTCATTTTTTTTTAATCGTGTTAATACTGTATACATTCTGATTTTCTAGTCCACCTATGCAAACTTTATTACAATACTATTTAATGGGGATTACATCAAATATATAGTTCAAACCAAAACCACCCAAAACACGTTTGCTTAAGGATATCAGCCAGCTGTTGCTTTGACTTAGGCATTTATTAGAGTCTAGTGGCAAGCCAGAAACATACACTGAAGTCAGACCCCACAGAACTTAATTTCAGTTCACAGCTGGCCATCCGAGACCACATCAGTTATGCAAGATTTTAAGTGCACACCCCAACTCCCACTCAAGATATTTGTGAAGTATTTAATCACAGATTCATTTAGAAGCCAATTTTCCAATAAGAGAAAACCGCTTTCACCACTAAAAAGGAATGGAAATTCGAGCAATTTGATGTAGCTTGTGGTTAGACTGTATAATAAAAATACGTTGGTTAATTTTATGTCAACTGTTAAAACAGGAAAACTGTTGGCTTTCCTGATATCATATTATGATTAATTTTGAAATCTTGCCTTTAACACTGATGGTAACTCAAATGCCTAGTGTCTTTTCCAAAGGCAAATCTTTCAGACTTATTTGCAATAAGGCAAGTTCTTCCTGACTTGACCACTGACACAACTTCAACTCAAGTCTGATTTTTTCTATGTAGAACTGGCACACAACAACACTTAAGGTAGTACAATGATAAAATGCTAGAGAAAATATTGCTCTCTTGCCCTTTCTAATGATTATTTCATGCATCCCAGCAAAGGGGTGTAAGGAAATGGGAAATATTAAATTGTGAGTTTTTTAAAAAATGGCACAAAAATATTTACATGCAGTTGTAAAATCTAAAGCCACTGTTACTTTTCTTACATTGACTAGATTTTAAAAGGGGTAAATCTTAACTTCTACTTAAGACAGCCCAGACACATAGTAGAGGAGGGGTGGGCAATTATTTCAGCTAGAGGGCTACTTGTCAATTTTTGGTGAGCTGTCGAGGGCTGCAAGGGTACACCACTTGACAAAATGCTATTGAACCTTGTATCTGTACAAACAACACATACATGAAGCCTGCTTTTCCAGTTATCGTATCTACTTATCAAGAGATTGACAAGCTTATTCCGCTACACAGCATACAAGCCTCTAATCACCTTTCTCCTGAAACGAGCACTAGCAGCTGTTGGGTCTTGCGTGTTATAAGAAAAACTTTGGACTCCAGTGGAGAAATCAAACTGACTCATCTCCTCACTGAGACTGCTGTCTACCATATAGGATGCAGAAGGCAAATACTGAGGCTCATCTGAATAAGAAAAATAAATTGTTAATTAAGACAATAACTCATGTTAAACTTGCCTTTAGTGACAACTCACAAGACTGATAAAAATTTATCAGGCACAGTAGCTACTAGGCCTGTGTGAAACAGCTAGCATTCACTTCGGATTTGGCCAATTTGGGGGACAGTGATTCAATTTGGTGATTTGAATCACGGTCCCAAACCTTTTCAACTGAATCTGATTTGGAGATTCAGCTGAATGTCCAAATCAAACAGGCCCCATCCCCTGCCCGCTCTCTCAGCCTCATCAATGGCTGCCCCGCCCAGGCCCAGTGTCCCGACTTTTTAAGAGCCCTGCACCCACTGGCTGCTGCCAGGCTGGGGGGCAATCCCTACTGCCCCGTGCTGCATGGGGGGCTCTGCCACAAGCCACCAGAGGCCCCAAGGGCCACTGCAGCAGCCAGTGAGTGCAGAGCTTTTTTTTGTTGTTGTTGGGTTTTTTCTTTTAAGCGCCAGAAGGCTGGGACCAGGCAGGGCAGTCATGGGGGCTCGTGCAGAGCCCCCCATGCAGTGCAGGGCAGTGGGGGACAGTAGGGATCATCCCCCCCAACCTGGCAGCAGCTGGTGAGTGTGTGTGGTTTTTTTTTTGTTTGTTTGTTTTTTTGTTTTTTTGTTTTTGTTTTAAGAGCCAGGACGCTGGGGCCAGGAAGGACAGCCATTGACGGGGCTGGGAGAGTGGGCAAGGGTCAGCGGGTGCTCAGGGGGACCAAGGGAGCAGGCAGGGGATGGGACCTGGCAGGGGTCTCCCCATGGTCCCCTCCTCCTCCTCTAGCCCCCTACTTACCAGCATGGAGCCCAGGTTCAGCTTCCTGTGATGGTGAGCAGGGACTGCCCAAATCGCCAAATCTCTGAATCTTTCTCCAAATATTTCCCAAATTGATTTAGAGGCTTCATATCAATTTGGATCTTTCTACTGGTCTTCCGATTCAATTCAGATTCGGAGATTCGGACGCAAAAATCGGGCTGAATCTCCTCTGAATCAAATCAGCACCCGAACCTTCGCACAGCCGTAGTAGCTACATGTGTGTTTAGTACAAGGTCTTTGTCCAGATTTTACTGTAATTAAAAGTTCCGTTAGAAATGATAAACTGTCCCCTTCCTTGTAAAAATATGCCCTGGATGTAAGAACTTCTGCTTATAAATAAGTATTAGCCATTAAAAATTGGCTGCATTTTAATGATAACAGAAGTATAGAACAGATCATCTTCCATATACTCTAAAAAAAATATTGGAGTGGGAAAACTTTAGAAAGCTAATTAACAAACATCAAAATGCAAAATATAGTCTCAGTTGGCAAATTTTATATAATGCTACATCTACATGAAGTTATTGAGAAAATAGAAGGAAATAATATTTTCCATAACTCCATTACTAGAGAAATCACCAGACTGTCTTTAGATCTCATTGCCAGCTTTTCCAGACTCACCTCTAATACAAAATAAGCACATCAAAATCAAAATGTGCAAATGTCAACTGTAAATTTAAGATTATTAAAAAAAAACAAATTAAATTTTAAATCAATGAATATCTTACCTGGATCACCATTTACTGCATCCCTGGCTTCCTTCCTAATGGCAATATACCTTTTCTTCCTTTCCATTGGCACCTAAGACCCAACAAAGAGCTAAGTTTATATGGTTTTTAACCTGAATTAAACAACAACAAAACCCAAACAAGTTGAGCATCTCTTATAGATGGCATATTTATCTAAAGTAATACAGCTTTTCAACTGATAGCCAAAGAAAGAGTTCCAGCTACTGAAAATGAATTGCAATGCTGATTAACAGTGCTTAGGACTACCTTGTGCCAAATGAATTACTAATTCTGGTAGTGGGTTATCAGAGTAAGTTTGCCAAAACAGTAAAAGCTGTGCTTTTCAACTCCCAGAGTTTGGGATTTCTGCCCGCAAAAATGATAAATTAACTAGTTTAAAAAAAAAAAAAAGAAGATATAAGTGGATTTTTCCTATCAATGTCATGCACTCCAACAGCATTATTTCCATCTCCCTATCTCATAGTTTCTAGGGTCGGAAGGAACCTGAGTAGATCATCTAGTCCGACCCCCTGCCACAGCAGGAAAGATTACTGGGGTCAAATGACCCCAGCAAGGTGTTCATCTAACCTTCTCTTAAAGACCCCAGGGTAGGAGCCAGCACCACTTCTCTTGGAAGTTGGTTCCAGATCCTAGCCGCCCTGACCATGAAGTAGCACCTCCTGATACCTAACCTAAATCTACCCTCTGCCAGCTTGTGACCGTTATTCCTGGTCACTCCTGGCAGTGCTCAGGGGAACGGGGACTCCCCCAGTGCCTGCTGATCCCCCTTGACTAGTCTGTAACAGGCCACTAGATACCCCCCAGCCTCCTCTTCTGGAGGCTGAACAGGTTCAGGTCCTGCAGCCTCTCCTCGTAGGGCCTGCCCTGCTGCCCCCTGTTCATGCAAGTGATCTCTTTGCATGTGTAAATACTATGGTATATAATGACTGTATAACATTAAAAGCAATTTAACATTTCCACTTAATTATAACAAAGCGCAGAGCTCATACTCACCTCAATTTCTACAGGAAAAGAATACTGGTGCTTCAGATCTATCAAGTTTTCAAAAATGAGCAAGTTCTGTGAACCAAAGCATAGCTGACAATTTAGGAAGTCATAATGTAATCAGTGGCTGCTACTGCAGCCAGATTAAATAGAATCTATTTCAACATACCAAGCACAATGAAAAGTAATGGTCTCATTCAATGAGTTCATTCATGAGAACTATACTAATATAAATGTTCTTTTTAGAATCTTCTGAGAAGCAAGATTTTTTTTAGTACTATCTTTTACTGGAACAACTACACAATTAGAAGACATGCTAAACAAGCTTTCAGACATAGAAGTGCTCTTCTGCTAACGTTTCTCCAACTATTTCGTTGTTCCAGAAAAGATTTCACTAAAATACCAAGCTTCTCACATATTTCCTGTATCTTCACAGCTATAACATTCCAACTCCACTAATATTTAAGAAACTAAATGTTGGTTATTTTCTGTACTTAACCAACAACTATTTAAAACAGAGTAGGTCAAACGTCTTGCTACTTTAACCCCCAACCAGATATGGAAACCTTGATCTGCAATTCAAATATTATATAAGATTAAAAGAAGCCAACTACTTCCCTGTTTATTTCAGACACTATTAAGATAAGGAACAGTTGTGGGAAACAGGTTTTGGTTTGATTCACTGAAACAAATAAAATCTTCCCATTAGTGTCTTACTATACTGGATGGACCCTGCAGAACATTAACAACAAATAGTAGTTTCCTCATCAACATTCACCTTTTCTGGTTTTTCGGTGAAAAGGAAGCCCTGGTAGAATTTAGTTTCAGTGAAGACGCAACTGATGACAGCAATGGCACAGTTATAAGCAGCACAATGATACTCTCTCCTCTTTTCCAAAAGGTGACTCTCACCTGCCATATTTTCTGTAAATGCATCATAGCAAGACCTTAAAAGAGACCAAAAATCTTGTCAACATTTTGTAGAATATCACAGAGGCCCCAATACAAAGACTAGCGAAGGAAGCAGAAAGACAACATAAGCTTTGTAAGGGAGCCAGAGTGCAATGAAGCAGTACCAGCACACACCACCTCAAATAAATTTAAGTTTTCAACAGGAATCCTTTGTGGCAGCAGTATCACCCAGCACCAATGAAAACAAACCTTAGCTAGTATTTCTACAGAAATTCCCAGTGCAAGGAACCTATTACTTCAGCTATTTCAAATTAGAGGAATACAATTCCTCTACCCATATAGGTAAATTTCACAAACTTCTTCCCCAGAAATTCAAGCAGGAACAGGCCAGACAGGAATCATTATATAGCAGGCAAATAATGCAAACCTCAATCTAGTTTTCAAAGTTCTGCCAATCAGCAGCTAGTTTTTTAAAGAAAGATCCTTGTAAGATGTAATGAATTAGGAAATAAAATAAATATAAATTCATTAAATCTGCTACATTTTATTGTTCTGTATGTGTCAAAGAGGAAGGGTATTTAATTGTAAAATAAAACAATGCTACTGAACTTTTACATGTAGTATTATTTTTCTTTCTATGGTGTTAATTCATCAAAAATGATACCTGCTGCCATTACTGCAAATTCATAATGATGTGAATGCAAGTCTACAATACCTGCAGTGGAGTGATACTGGGAAAATTGTTGGCTCCTTAAGAATAAATTGTATCCTGGGATCCTGTGGTTCAGGATCATAATTACTGTAATAAGTACACACAGCAAAAGGTGCCTAAGATACTGTTAGAAATATTAATGCTACATCTTAATGATGAGCATCATTTAGGAATAACTAAAACGCATATCCTCTCTATGAAACACTCATCATCAGGGACTAGATGGCCAAACAGACCTTTTCCATTTAAGTGTTATGCTTCCAATTTCACTGGACAAAGGGGACACTAATAAGATCTAGAGTCTGCCATTAGCAAGCTAGAATAAAATATATAAAGTTGATTTACAGAGCATCATTTTCAGAGATGGCAAAATATGCCCTTTATTAAACACTACCCACCTCCCATGACACAGGACATACAATCAAGAAACTAAGAAAAGCTGTAACTACCCTGATGAAGTATTCCAGGATATGGACAGACATGATACGTAAAGTGCTTCAAAAGCTACTGCACTCTGAAGTGCTTAAAATATGGAGCACTTTGGCCATGAACAGATTTACAGCTCCCCTTGTCTGTGCCCCGAGTGCTTCATAATGCCCACAACAGCATGCAGTAGTGTGGCTCTTCAGCCACAGCCAAAAAGTACAATAGAAGCAGCACTTTATAAAGTATGTACATTTGTCCACTTACCCTTTAAAAGTACTTCAAATATAACATCTGTTCATGGCCCTGGCCTCTACATTTGGTGGTCACCATATCACCATATTGAGATAAATCCAATTCAATATCTAGTGTTTAAAGCACAATTTGGATCTTCTCTTAAATTTATCCATTGCTAGGATGGATTTTTTTTCCAAACTGCATACATAGAAACAGTATCTGGTTCCTTAGGTAATTAGAAGCAAATAAAGGTTATTACACACATGAGAAACTCTTACTTGATTAGCATCTTGGTAAGTTCATTCCCTTCTACATTTGTGGTGCCCTGGTAAGCCTGGTTAATTTGAGAGTCCTTCGAGTGAACATGCTCTTTTGAGAGACGTGAATACAGCACTTCCAGGATCTTATAATACCCCATTTTCTTGATGACTTGTGTATTAAAAACTGTTTCATTTGACTAAAAAGAAAAGCACAGAAAGATCTCTTAGCTCTTGTCCTTATAACATATTTCGCTACTGTTTCACAGAGTTGCTTCTCATTCCTTTCCTTGTTCTAAAGGTAACAATAATTTTATATCAAAAGTCAGGTTTCAAGCTGCTCTTAAATAATTTATGAATACTTTATATTAAACTGTTGTTTATTGGGATATCTACTGTGTGTCTGTGATTAATTTAGTTTATTAGGGGCTGTTAGGAAAAAAAAATAAGAAAAATAATGGTTGAATAAGCCATATTCCTGCTGCTGGCCAGGCTGCAAGCAGCAGGAAAGCTGCAGTTGCAGCTTCCCCAGCCCCCAGATTAGGCTGCAGAGGATTCATGGCACAGGCTTTGTCCCAGGACACGTAACAGTGGCATAAGGTGTGCGCTGCTTCTTGTCCCCAGGGAACCAGATGTCTGAACATCTAGGTCATGTCCAGATGAGTACAAACGTAGGCCATTTACAGGTGCTCATTTTGTGCCAGGAAAAGAGCCTCTCTCCTGGCACAAACAGGGAAGTACAGAGACATTCAAAAAATGTCTTGTGGAAGAGAACAGGCCCTTCTGCAAGAAGTGAGGCCCTTATTGTGTTAATTTTTCCTCCGGTGTCCTCAAAAATTGGAAACATTATTTTAAATTCAATCTTGTTTCTAAGCTAAACAAGCTATATATTTGTAACATCTCAGAGAATGACTAACTTTGTAGAGAAACTGTTCCAACTGTAAAAAGTAAATGATGCTTACCTTTGTAAATCTGGACTTGAGTGTATCCATGGCTTCCACTACAATCTTGCTGAAGAATTCTTTCAGTGCATCCAGGCTGCAGTGTAACAGGAGTGTGAGGAGAGAGCGATCCAAAAAGGCTTGACGTGTGACATTTGAAAGAAGGGATTCACTCTGGAACATGTTGTACACAGTGTCTAAGAGCACCACTTGTTTGCTGCAGTCACTCCTACATGGGATGAACATTTTTTGATGACAAAGTTCCACTACCAAATTTGTTTAAGTTTTAAAACTCTGCACAATATCTACTTTTTTTATCCCATTTTCCATTCATACTTACTCGTATCATGACCTCAGCAGATTTCTCAAGGCTACCAGGGTCAGGGTTTAATCTTTTATTAAGTAACACTCTTCTGCACAAGTCACTATTTGACCAACACCACAACCTGGCATACAAATCCTCTCTCCTAACATCTCCAATGAAATGTGAAGCACAGAAATGTACCACCTGAAGTCACTAAAGATTACGTCTTGTTGAGGGGAATGCCCAAACCTTGACTCAGTTTCCAAATGGGTCATTACAATCTACACCCACATGATTCTCCTCATATTGTCAGATGCCATGTTTTTCCTCCACTTCCTATCAAACTGGTGTGGTGCTGCTGTCTACTGTTAAACACGGATGTATTTCATTCCATAGAAAGCTGCGTAGTTGAAGCGATTCTTGTATATGTATATTCACATCTTTTCAACTATTCAAAATATTATTATACAACTGAGCATGTACAGCAAGCCAAAATTAGCCAAGCATAGGAAACTTGTCATATACAACAATTTGTTGTCCAGCATCCAGTTTTGTTGGTTTACAGATGTGTTCAAACTAAGTAACAAATTTCATATATACAAAAAAGGTATCAATTACTGGAGTCTGGGCTCTAATCACCATGGATCAATCACCTAGTCTCACAATTTTGCAAAAGAAGTATCCGATTCATTACGGTACACAGCTTGTGGTATGGAACTGCTGGGCATTTGGAATCTCATCCTCTATGCATGGGACCGTTTGGATAGGGATGATCCTGCCTGAGGCAGGGTGCTGAACTAGATGACCTCTGGAGGTCGCTTTTAGCCTTACTTCTGTGACTAATAGAAATGTTTCTACATCTTATGTAATATGCAGAGACCTACCCCCCACCCTCAGAAGGAGGAATAGATAACAAGGAAAATAGATAACAAGGAATAGATAACAAGGAAAAAGCTGCTAATCACTTCCCAAATGTAGCCACCATTTGTTACTAAATGGTAACATGGTCAAAGGAAAAGACAGAAAGAGGGGGAATTAAAAACCTGAAAAATGGCAGATATGCCACACCACAGAGATACTTTGGGCCTCCTTTTCTCTGAATAATAGAAGAGGTTGGTTTTGATTTCCAAAACAACAACAACAAAAAAATGAGAAGGATTAGTTATACTTCCCAAATTTACAGAAAGGAAAAAAAATGTAGCCTACTTATAATAGTTTTGCTACATGCACATGGTACTATAGATAATTATAAATCTAAAAATCCAAAATAAATATGGGCATAACAAAAAGACTTAAGTCACAAAACTAGAAATCAAAATAAGCTATAAAAGAACGTGTTCTAAACAACACATTTTTGTTGTACCATTCAATGGACATGTTAGCAATACTGCTGATCTGTCATGGTAACACTCATAGTAAACAAGTCAGCATAATACATTTCATAGATTCATAGATTGTTAGGGGCTGGAAAGGCCCTTGCAGATCACTGGGTCCAGCCCCCTGACTCTAGGTAGGAAGGCAACTGGGGTCAAGAATCCTGTGAATGTCTTGCATGATTAGTATCTTGATTTGAATCACACTGGAACAGACTGCATTATAAAGGCTTTGCAGAATTTGTCCAAACATCTGAAGTATCACAGGGGAAGACAAAATAATAATTGACTGAGTTTTATACCAAGTACTTGGAAAAGGCAAACAAAGGGAAATTTTAGAAGGATATGTTATAATTAATGAAGGCATGGGGGGGAGGAGACACAAAATCTCTTAAACACAACAGCCAAAAATATAATATTTGTATGCATATTACTGCTTGTATGTTTATTATTAATGTATATTATTCTATTACTAGGTCTCAGGCTACCACTGTAAGGTTTACATAAGAAGTTTTGCTTCAGCAAGGTTTCAAAGAGGGACAATAAACTGAATTCACCTTTTGGCAATTCTTCTGAAGCTGGTTTGAAACAAGTCCTCCATGAAGTGTCTATGATCCCTACACAGGATTTCTGTCATCAGCTGTAACAGCATAGGACTCTGAGATAATTCCAGAGCATCTAGAAACTAGAGAGAGGGGAAAAAAAAGAATGCAACAGTTGCAATAACTGTGTTCTCAACTGCCCTAAAGTGAGACAAAAATCCGAATCTAATAGAAGAAACTGAACAAAGAATTCAAGCCTCTGAATTTGGATGTCTTAGAGTTCTACAAATACTTGTTCTAATAAAGTTAAAAGTTTAACAATTGGAATAACTGCTTGACCCCCTACTAGCTGAGCCCCTAAAAAGCTAAAGTGATTTTGTCACGTGACCAGAAGAGTTGGCCTATCAAACATAGATCTATAGGGAGCAAATAATGGAAGAAGGAAGAAATGCTGCTCAGGGTCACTTTTGGAATGCTACCACCACCACCTGGATAGGAAGGTTACATAGAGGACTGGAGCAGTGGGTTGCAGTGGTGTGGTCACACCCTTCAGCTGTGCTGTCAGTGTACAATGAGTGCTCCAAGCTCATCAGCTAGTGGCACAGACTCTTACCAGAGGCACTGCTTCACATAGCTCTGGGTCTCAGGGGGTGAGCAATACTGGCATTTGCCCCTCCTTTTCTACTGCACTCAAGTTTGGCATAAGGAAGTGGATGGTGAATGGCAGTGGTGATCACCCCTTGGGCTCTAGAGCTGTGCAAAACAGTGGCTATGGCAAAAGCCCACACCAACCAGCTAATGAGCTCTGAAAGCTCCCTGCATAAGCAGAGTTCGAGCCAAAGCCCACACTGACCAGCCAGGAGCTCAGAGGGCTCATTACATAGGTGGTGCATGGCCCAAGGGGGTGTAGCTAAACCTTCCCTCACTCCTCTCCTGGATTCACTGTGGTTATAAGTAAAACTTCTCCAAACTATTACAGGCCCCCTTAATAGGGTAGCTTGTCATATTTTATGCTTTAAACTTGCACCTGTTTATAGAGTGGTGAATTATAGCATTGTTTAAAGTTTTCTTTTATATTCAGCCTAAAGTTCTGTATAGCCTCGTTATCATCTGAACTTTTCATTTTGCTGGTGTTTGCAATATCATCTGGCCTTGTTTCTTGCAAGCAGTTTATGGCCTTGGGTTTGCTCGCATGATGTTTCTTTCCTTTTTCTATCACTGTGAGAAGGTTTTCTAACACAGCATAGTAATAGTTTTGTTACTAGCCCAAATAAACTGAACTTGGCACTAATCGGCTGAATCAGAGGGATGAAATAATTGGATCTGTTAATGAAAGGTGATAAAGGAGACCCATGGACAATGGAAAAAGGCCAAATTAAGAGGTGTGCTTGTAACAGGAATGTTGAACAAAGGAATATGCTGACAGGATAAAATATGAACAATATGCTGACTGCAGACAGACCAATACAAAAGCAAGGAGTCATCAAAGGAGTCAAGAGAAAGAAAATCATAAAAGGGGCAAGCAAGAAAGTTAAGTGTCATTGTCGTCAACATCATCATTTCCATCATGAATCCAGCTTTCAATACCTGTCTGAATCATCCCAGCCAGCGACGCACCCTTTGCATTAAATATTCTTAATTCCTAATTTTTAACTGCTAGGAATAAATTAGGACAACTCAGTGATCTAGAAGTAAGGAGTCCTGTCATCTCAGAGATGACATATTTAACGTAAACTGTATTTTTTTTGCCAGAAGTTTCACTTATGTTTTAATTTATACACCTTAAACCCACTCAAGTACTGACCTTTTTAGTGCAGTCCACATAGTTGTTATATCTCAGGGTTCCCTTGGGGAACTCATCAGATTTCATGGGAAAATTGAAGGCTACAAGTTGGTCAAGAGCATCCTTTAGCTCTTTAAGCCTTTCTCCAGTCAGATTAGTGAAGAATGGCAGGATAATCACTGCTTGACTCTAAAGTAAATAAAGAGTGGTTATATCAAAGTCAAAAGGCCTTTCCCATCTACAACAACGATCAGACCACTTAACATGTCATGGTTTAGTAGCAACTTCACTGCATGGTTGAATGGCTCAGGTAACTGATGTTGAGATGACACAGCCTTTTTTCTCTTTAGGATGGTTCAAAATTCAGCTCTGGCCCGTACTGACTAGCCTACCCATAGAGATAGGTCATGGCTCATATGCGTAATTAAAAGATGTTAAACATCAGAAGAAACCACCAAAACTTGTATACTGATTTGATACACTTCTTGGTAGCTGGAGCAGAAAGTTCAAGTTCAACTGAATATGAACACTAGGACATTCACTAGAGCTATTCTGTCTAGTTCAGGACAGAGGCAAATTGGCAGTGGCAATGATACAGCACTTTTTCTGTGAACAAAAAACTCACTGTTTCCAAGATACTCAATTCAACAACTTTCATTACCCATATCTTTTTGTCCTTTTCTAGTAAACTAGAACACATACAGGTTATCGGGGTTTGTTACTGTCTTCAGCTAACAGAACTGGTTCTTTAGGTTATGTAGAAGACGCTCGATTCTTTTCCTACACAGGTGACAGTTTCAATTGCTGCAGATGGTCTGATCAAGTTAGTCATTTTACCATTTTATTCTTCATACATTTCAAATTAATTTGTAAACCATTATATCTACCTATTGCTGACCTTTCCTAAAGCCTACGTGAGTTATGACTAGGAAAAACAAAGGTTAACAATGCATGCTTCCATCTAGGAAGTTATGAGCACATTGATTTGTCATTTTCACATTACAGATTTGTATATTTTCCTGGAAAGATGAGAGAAAAAAGCAAATTCTTTGCTCCTACTATAAAAATGAAAGCAAGGTAATATAGGTTCTCTATAAAAAGCGAAGGCCAGCTGCAGGAGTCCATCACCCAGTCACTTGCTGCTGATGTCTAATGATGGCAGACATTTTCTGAAAATGTATTCCCATAAAAAGGGATTTTACGTCTAACCTGGAAAAATATAAAACAACTTACCTTTAGATTTAGACCCAAATTCTGATCAACAAGCAAGCTAGTATAGGTATTAAAAACAGCAAAAAATGCCTCATGTTTTGTATTAAAAGAAACGGAAGAGTCCACCTGGGGAGAAGAAAATCAAAGATGTAATTTTAAAAATACATACATTATTATAAGACTACTCCCTATAACCTTATATTTTTGTTCTTAATTAGAATAGTCATCCATTTCTGAATTTAATTCAGGAAATGCAAATTTATACATGATAGGGGTGTTGGTTTTAAACAGAGCATTAGCAAGAATTTAAAAAGCTCTCACATATGACAAAAAGAACTGTACAGTGACACTTCAGTGGCCATGAGAAAAAGAATATTAAACTCCCTCCCAAAGGCAGGTCATTTGGGAACACTCCACTGTCAGATAAGCCATTAGACAAACCCCTTTGTGCATCATTAAACATTCCTCCGGTAATGTTCTTATATGGTGGGGGTGGAGGAAGGGAGGGGAAGGTGACAAGTCATAATTCTTCTTCCTAGCTATTTCTGCATGGGTTTAGAAAGATATCTCCCAAAAGCCAGTATCTACAGCAGTCCAACTTCAGGATACAAGAAAAAGAAGAGATTCAGAAAGGTGATAGACCTGAGAGGCAAAGAGGTTAGAGTTCTTCACAGTTCTTAAATAGCTTACTGAAACAGACTGACATGGTCACAGCCTCTCTTAAAAACTACTGTTCAGTGGCCAATAAGAAATTTTGCATCTCAACTTCCTTCTCCAAAATCCCTACTTATTTCATTACATATTTTCAGTGATGTCAAAGGAAGCTAAAACTTGGGCCACAAGGACAACAAATGGAAGAACAAAATTCAGTATGTTAAAAAGCAGTTTGTTTTTTCTAATACTTAATATGCATTGTTTATGATTTCCCAGATAGACAGAAAAAGAAAAAAAAAACCCAACTCAAATAAAACGACAAGCAAAAATTGCCGCTCTCTCAGAGTGGCACACATTCCTATAAACTTTCTAAAAGTAGCTTTGATTTTACTAAGCAATGTATACCTGCAGAACTTTGGCCAGCAGGGTCAACACAGCCATTTTACTCTCAGGAGCAGAATCTTTGGCCCACCAGGTGTCAAGTCTCATCCAATTCCTGAGGATTGCAGTCACTAGCTTCATTCCCTGCTGCTTGCATACAGCACGCTCTTTAAAGCTTTGATCTAACATACCATTCAGAATGGTACCCACCTGAAATTAAAGTATGCAAAAAAGAAGAAATCCGTGTGTTCCAAATTAAGCCCTAGAAATAACAGTCAAACATAACGTCTATTCATTGGGACAGATGACTAAAGACCTCCTTTCCCTCCATCCCTGCCCTTTAAGCCTCTGAATCATTACAGTTTATTTGCACCTTCGTTTTTCTGATAATCTTTCTATATACTTCTTGAATCTTTAGCAGCTATTACCATTCTGGGATTGTCCACAGCTGATTTCATAAGATGAAGTATGGCCACATCAAGGTTCTTCAGCAGTTCGTGATTAATGGTTTCTGAGAACAAGTTGTAGAAATACTCTCCGTGGCAGAAGCTGAGCAGATTCCTCGGTGCTGCTTCACAGACTGGTACAGATAACATCACTGTATTCAACATCAGATTCACCAGTTCTTCACTCTGTGGAAACCAACACAAGGAGACAGAGTTAATCCACCAATCTATGGGTACTAAACTCTGCTCGTTCCCAGAGAAATCAAGAGAACTTTTAAAACTGCCTCCTCAAACAGTCGCATGTGTATTTGTAGTAAACAAGCAAATAGTAAATACAAAGAATAAAGCACAACCAGTACAATACTAGGATATTTCCTTTAGTAAAGGATCCATGATTTGCCTACTGGCACTCTACACTGAAGTGGAGGTACTAAGGGATGTTAATGAATACTGCACTCTGAAAGAATGCATGTAAGCAAGATATAAAGAGATATCACCCATTCCAAAAAGGACACATTGTTGAAGTGAACCAGTTTCTCTTACAATGTTCCTGAGAGCACACCAAATTAAAGTTCTGGCATCTCTTCTCTTAAATACTGCGTGGAAATCATACCATATCCTACCTGGCAACCAAAAGCAAAGGCCAGCTGTAGGAGTCCATCAGCCAGTCGCTTGCTGCTGATATCCAATGATGGTAGACATTTTCTCTCATCCCCTGGTGCAATCCCTTTGTAAACAACTGACAGAAGTTGACAGCCAACTGTGAAATGAAGTCCTGAACCCTAAAAGTGGGGGAAGTGGGGAAGAAAGAGAGGGAGAAGGGGGACCCCCCCCCCCAAAAAAAAAAAAAAAAATCACTAAGATTCCATTTTAGGTTGCTATGAATAAAGAACACAAAAAAAGTTAAATGCAATATACAGAGACTTTTCAGCTGTTCCATTTAGCTTCCAACGGAGGAGAAGGTGGGGGAAAGAGAAGAAATTAAACTTTCAGAGAATTGTTCTGTACAGGAGATGTAGAAAGGCAATCATGGTTTTCTGTTTTTCAAGCCCTCTGATCCAGTAGTGGCCTCATGAAGTGTTACACAGGCTACTGATACTCCTAAGAAACCCCTCTGAACGTTTGTTTGCCAGAATAAATTGATGATCATATGGGACAATATTCAGATTAAAACAAATATATACCAAAATTTAAGGGACTCTAAACTTCTCTGAGCTTAAGGTATCAAGCTTCAGATGACTACCACTAGTACAGAAAATTGAGGGGACAAACTGTTACCACATCTTAGCAGAACCCAGGATGCTAGGAAGAGACCAAGCCATCTATGTAATACCACTGACACCATTCAATATACTGTCAAGAAATTGTAGCTCTCCAAGTTTTTATTAGCATATATAGAATTAAAAGGGTCCTGCTGAAGCCAGTGAGGTTTTTTTATTAACTTATAAATGTGGCCATCTTTACCAACTGCCACAGGCTCTTGTCTGTTCATTCAAAGAATGGCATTGTAGATGGTGGTATTCCAGTGAGAACTACACCTGGAATAGTGCTGCTATGTTCCTTCCCCTTGTACAAAATAAAGGCTTATGGGCAACAATCATATCCTGCTGTCCTCAAGTCTATGAAGTGTCTCATCGGTGGTGAAGCTAAAGAGCTCATCCTTGCAAGGGGTATCTCCTCTGTGGTTGTCTGGACCTCCCAGGGAAGGCTGGGTGGTTGGAGACCTGACAAAAGTTTCATGGTGATAACATGTTTTTACACCTGCATCTGTGGCATTAATGAAGAACCCCCAGACAAACATGCAAAGAAGAAGCCCCAGCCTTCAATGCAATGTTGCAGCTAGTAAAACGACCAAAACACTGGCTTGCATCCATAGATGCTTCTCAAGCAAATCCCAGGACATCATTCTCCCCTTGTACTCGGTCTTGGTGAGGCCGCAGCTGGAGTACTGCGTCCAGTTTTGGGCCCCACAATTCAAAAAGGATGTGGAGAAGCTTGAGAGGGTGCAGAGAAGAGCCACACGCATGATCGGAGGTCAAGAAAACAGACCTTACGATGATAGGCTGAGAGCCATGGGGCTCTTTAGCCTGGAAAAGCACAGGCTCAGGGGTGATCTGATGGCCACCTATAAGTTTATCAGGAGTGATCACCAGCATCTGGGGGAACATTTGTTCACCAGAGCGCCCCAAGGAATGACGAGGTCAAACAGTTATAAACTACTGCAAGACCGTTTCAGGCTGGACATAAGGAAGAATTTCTTTACTGTCCCAGCCCCCAAGGCCTGGAATAGCCTGCCATCGGAGGTGGTTCAAGCACCTACACTGAACACCCTCAAGAGCAAATCGGATACTTATCTTGCTGGGATCCTATGACCCCAGCTGACTTCCTGCCTTCGGGCAGGGGGCTGGACTTGATCTTCCGAGGTCCCTTCCAGCCCTAATGTCTATGAATCTATGAAAATTGGTTCTTGGGGAACATCTTCAGTTCCTGCTGCTGTTCCTTGGGTACTCTGCCCAGGAGAGCAGACTATCCTATAAAAGGAAGTCCTGTTTGGAGAGGAGGGTCTGATACCTGAAGACCCTCATCTGGAAAAATGGCAAATGAATAGCTATTCAAGTAAAAAAGATTCAGTCTCCTTAGGCTTTTTTTGTAAGAGATTTAGAGGTGAAATGCTGTTTAGGCTTTGCATGCGCTTCTTGTACAGCTACCAGGTCAGATGTCAAGTATTGCTAGAAGTAATCAAACTCCTTCTCTGAGACCTATTTCTTCATAATGCTCATTTTTAAGGTCAGAAGAAAAACTGCTTCTCCTGAATTACCTCTGCTTGAGATACCAAGATTTCTGTGATTATCTTGATATGGTTTGTAAAGTCTTAGACACATCTTTAACCGCCATTTCCAAAAATGTACCATACTAGTAAAATATAAATCAGGTTTATAAAATGTAACAATTTATATTTTACTGGCCTGCTTTTTCTAAGATCTAAATCAATATGCTTGCTGCTCTGACAAGTAAAATAAGTGGGAGATGTGCTATTTAATCTACTGCTCCGTTTGAAAGAGTTTATACTGTTGAAGTAACCTCCATTTTGACTGCTGAAGTGCACAGGTGTGGGCAGATCATTACATACTAGACAATTTTCCCCAGTAACTAAGTTTTCACCATGTATTCAGATGCTTTAATGCCCTAGTGTGTAGTAATTAAGGCCCTGAAGTGCTGCTTTTTACATTTGTAGAGTATGACGTAAAGCATTACTATAAGGGAACATGAGCAATACAAGAGTTCTGATCTCACTGACAGCACCAACTCCTCACCACTGCTCCCCTCTCTGCCAGTCTCCTCACCTGTAAAAGGGCAATACTATTCACTGATCCATTTCACATGACCTTTATTTTTTTTAAACTTAGCTATAGAAAAGGAAGTGTTCACCAAATTTTTATATAAGTAAATAATAATTACCTGAGACTGCAGCACAGAATGAAGCACTCCAGCCTTGTGGAGCTGTTTGCATGCAGATAGGATGGAGCTAATTCTAACACGATCAAAACAAGCATCTGGATCATACAGATCAACTGAACAAAGTTCCTGAATGCTGACAAGGAAAATATATATATATATTTTTATTTCTTGTGCTTTTATTAGTATATTGACATAGCATGAAAATAAAATACATCATCCTATAAAAGTACACTGGAAACTGTACTCACTCCACAGTCACTATGAGCTGTGTTAGTTCTGACGTTTATTAATAATCATTATGGTTATCAAAGAGTTCCTACCTGTGCGATGTTATTCTTTTCTTTATGCTTAGCTCCAAAGATGCTTTATAGGGAGATTTTGCCAAAGCTTTCACGAGTCTCACTGTATTATCTGGGAGATTTTTCATGACTTGAACGTCAGCTGTGTTAAAGCCCACAGCTGATGGATCACACACTGTCACCACTAAGAGTTCTATCAGATTCAAATTAAGCAATTCCTTCTCAAGCAGCTAGACAGAGTCAAAAAGTAAAATGCAGACAAGTTTTATTTTAAAAAAATAAATCATTTTGCACTTTTCCCCTATATTTGCTGTCTGAGATAAAGCAAAATATGGATGATTAATTGATTTGAGTTCTAACTCCAAATAACTCATTTCAAAATACTATTAGTGAATCTCACCACTACAGCAATTAAATGCTTACTTCTTAAAGACAGAACCATGCAACAGCATATCTATTTGCACTCTGCTCCACAGGTCAGTTATTTGTATTCACATACCCTCTATTTCATATTCTAAAAGGCAGACACATGGAGCGGATATTATTCTTAATTATAACTTTATCACCCATATGGCTTTTTTATACTTACTGCAACAATTATGTCTAAATATGAGAACACTATGAGTTTTAACATCCAACAGGGATTATTGGATTAATTAATCCCTTGACAAGATGCTGCCAAGAATGACCCACTTCTCCAGGCTAGTAATAAGCCTGTCCTCTTCACTAGGGAAATGCCTTGGACCTCACTCACTGAAGCTGAAACACCAACTTTAAATAATAGTTTTAATGAACTGAAGAGAGCAACTTCTAAGAGCTGCTAGTCCAGCACCTACCTTCCAGAAATCTTGTTGACAGGTCTCCAGGATCATGCTGACAAACCTAATAATTCGGACTACAATTGTACATTTGCTGTAATTGTACTCTTCTCTTTCTTGTGGACTGAACACGCTGCCTTTTGACTCAGTGTAAAAGCACTGTTCCGCTGCATGTATATCATGTAATGCAATAGTTTCAAGGAAGAACTCCACAGCTCTCAAGAACGAAGAATTTGTACCTAGAAAGAATTATGCCACATTAAATAACAGTAACTCTTAAATTTAACACAACATTCTACGCTCACCACATGGCTCATGACTAGCCTGGAGAAGTGGGTCATTCTTGACAGTACCTTGTGCCATAAATCCCTGTTGGACGTTAAGACTCAAAGTGTTCCAATCTTTAGATGTTATTATTAAACAAGTGATATGCCAATTAAATTTGTAACATTAAGGACAGAATTTCATACAACTTCGTATTCTTTGTGCGTATATACTAAGTACTTGGACCCATAGATCAGGTATTTATAACTATATGGAGGTAAGGCAAATTCACATCTGAACAATCAGGCCCTCAATGACCTGTTCATTGTACAGTTCTAATAACAACAAAAACTTAACCTCTTTACACACAGTTTTTTTTAAAACAAGCACTGAATACTGTACAAATGGCTGCTTAATTGCACTTACACATTCTACTACTGTAGAAGCTTTGTTTAGAAATGAAAATAACTCTTTTTGGATACAGACTCAGTGTCTAATAGCTATATACAACAGGGCTTCATACATGACCAGTATGATGGCTATTGAGATCTTCTGACTGGATGCTGCTGAAAACATTAGAAAAAAGTAACACATTCAAATCACTGGACTGGCAGCGGGGAGAGAAGGCAATCCTCACACTGCATGTCAGTAAGCACTTCTAGCCAATAAGCAAGAGTAGGAAAGGGCTTTGGAAGGAGTCTAGTCCAGACCCCTTGAATTAATCGTTTTATAAAATACAAGAAAACACTTCTAAAAATGAGAAGCAAATAGGAGGTATTACTCTTGCCTACTAAATTAAAAAAAAAAAAAAACAAGTTGCCTCCCTGTTGCCAAACTGGTTAAGAGCTTGTATATCCACCTGTGCTCAAGAAAATGTCTAGCCTAAACTACAAACCCATCACCATATGGATTTAGGTAATAAATTTAACAGTAGCCAGAATCACTTACCTAGTACATTTTCAGGTTTGAACATTCTCTGCTCAATGAACGTATTGTAGCAGTCCAAAGCGGCTAAAAACATATCCATCCACTGCACAACAGCCCGCACACTAAAGGGCTCCTGCAGGTGACGGAGAGTTGGGTGGGAAAGGATCCCACACAGATTGTCATCCCGATTGCCACCTCCTTCAAATTTGTTAATAAGGAAAGAGCTGTCCTGTTTTTCCAGAACATCACCCAGCCAAGAAGACGGGGACTTATTTCCTAACAAACAAAAAAAGCAGTAAGAGAAATTAGAAGTTCTCCAAGAAAATGCACAGCTGGATCCAGACACGTGTGCACCTGCACATACATACACACAGATCCAGCCATATACATCACACACAAATACACAATTAACATATTAAGAGTGGTGCAAGGAAGCCTATGTACACATACATGTGTTTTTATATATACAGGATTTCTCCAACATTATCATATGTATTACGAATCTTAATATGAGATCAACAGGGATCTCAGTTTTCTGTTCAGCACAGAAAACAGCAAAAATCTGTGTTTTTCCACAACCTACTAGAGCAAGAACTATGAAACTATGAAACTATAAGCAGCGCCTTTTCTGCTCTTATTTTTGCCTCTTGGCTCACCAGCTGAGGGGGTGGGGGATGATGCTTATTGGCCAAGAGGAAGAAAAAGCACAGTAGAAAAAAAGAGCGCAAAATGGTGCTGCTCACCACAGGATGCTGCTGTGTTTTTGGTACGTCACAGGGAAACATGGATTTTTGTGTTTTTTTAAAATGAAGATTTTCTGCTTTTTTCCCTGTGGAAAACTAGGATCCCTGATGATCAACATAAGAAAACATATTCAGTTTATTGCTTTTATTACCTGACTACTGTATTGGGCCTAGCCATGCTTCCAGTCCTACTTCTCTGTGCCGCTTATATCAGACAAATGGGAAGAGATGGTTTATGAACAGACAGCTCTGTCTCATAAAAGTATGCTCTCAAAGCCACTTTCTCAAGAGCCACTTTATGCCTAAAAGTGCATCTTACAAGTCGGAGTAGAGACACATTAGCAGATCAACGTGAGGAAGCCTGTGTTATAATAAGCCACAGCATTTATACTGAATACTAGCAGCTGCTCCACCATGACTACAAAAAGATTTTTTTTAATAAATGTAAAGTACTGTACTCTGCAAAATTGAGCAGGCATGCATAGAGATATTTGTGAAACAGCAGACCAGAGCTACATTAAACATGATCCTCAGTACCTGGTAACAGAGGAACAAACTCATAAAAGAGCTCCATGGATTTATGTCGGCACTCGGTCTGAGGTCGTCCACACTGCACCATCAACCACATGACAATGTCCAACAGGCACAGTGATTCTGCAGGTTGAAATCCTCTGTGCAAAAAACACCACACAGTCTTTTCTGGTATTATGCATGGGCTTTTGTTTTAGACAAAACCATAGTACCATCATGTTAATAAGACCATTTTGCTCCACTTGTAAACTGTAATGTCCTATGAATGATTCCAACTATCCTTTCTACTACCTCAGGGAAGACAGAGAAGGGAGCAGAGATGGTTGGATAGGCCAAACCCACTTACACTACACACATTTATACAGGTGTAAGCTGGACTTCTTACTGCCCTCAACTAATTTGATTTGTGATGACCATTTCAATTACTATAACATCAAGATTCAGCTGCCTTTCCTCCCTTCAAATGCAAAAAATAAAAGCATAGACTACATCTTAAACAGTAAGCAGCATAACTCTTAATCCCACTAGTTAACTGATCTATGAGCATGTAACCCAACTACCTAACCACTGATGCCAACCTTCACACTCCACTTGCCCACTTCCTTAGGGGAAAAGGACATTTTCCAAGCCTCTTCAACAGTACTAAGAATTCTGCATTATTTTTTTCCTATGCTTCGTAAGACATTTATTTGTGCCTAAAAACGTCTGGGATAGTTCCCTCCAAGGTCTTTTAAATCATCTTCAAAATGGCCCCAAAGATTCCTGCAGGGTAAAATACCCTCTCTTCCCAGCACCTCCAGAGTTAGAGTGATCTGTCTCTCCAGCCTGTTTTGCTCAAAAATCAGGGATAGACTTAGACTAATAAAACCTGATTAAGCATCATCACATTCAGCTATTCTAATCAGACATTCAAGGGACAATTCACAAGTTTCTCATCAGGTATGTAGGTGACAGAGTTGTGGATTAGTAGAACTCACAAAGCTAAGTGTTTGCATGCATCTGCCAGCAGACAGCCAACAATACAGGGAAGCCAGAACAAGTCCCCATCCATGCAGCTTCCCAACGGTTATGCCAGCAGGACATGCAGCACACCCTTGCGGGGGCATCAGCTGCTAAAGGGGCAGAAGATGTGGGCAGAAGCTCAGACTTGTCTACACAAGCTTTCTGGTCACATTCTTGTGGCACTGGAAACCTGTTGCTCACAGAGGCAGCACTACTCTGCAAACAAAAATTACTCTGCCACCACCAGGGAACTGAGTGTGCTGTCAAGAGTTCTGCTAGAAAACGATGTTGCATAATCTGGGCCAGAGCAACAACCCAACACCATTTTTTAGTTTGCTGGTGAACTGAGGTGTAGCATCTGGCAACCTAAAATTTCTCAAGTTACTTACCGTGGTAACCGCCGTTTTTCTGCCTTGTTTAGGGAAGGTGCTTTGTGCTTAATTATGCGCTTCAGGTGGTCAATGGCATCACAGCACTGCTGAGTTGTACCTATTATAAAAGAGAAAATCCATCAATGAATCCAATCCTTATCTAATTAACATATACATGTATAAATACATACAAGAAGAATTACATGTGTGGATGACATGCAAAATAAACTCGTCTTTAGCAAACTGTTTCCACTGTAAAAAACATATCATTTTGGGACTGTATCTACCACCTGTAGCAACTCCAACAAGAGGAGTTTGTTTTCCTTAGGGTACGTTTCCTCAAAAAGCAGCCCATCCAAAATTTGTAACACTAAAACTTTATATTTTAACCATTATTACATGATAAAATGTTACTGACAAAGAATTAGCATTCAATCATTATTACATGATAAAATGTTACTGACAAAGAATTAGCATTCAATACTGAGGAGGAAGTTGCAAATTTTTCATACAACTCTACAATAAAGACTGTTGATGCGATAAAGATGGCAAGAGGAATATTTTTTGAGTTTCAAGTCTGTTGAATGACAGTATTCTATGCTCAAAATATACTGAATTTCATTTTTAAATAGTGTAGATATTGGTCCAGGACATCCACATCAGAACCATCCAGAGCATTAAATATTATTGTACAATACTTGAAAAACCCAACTTTACCTGACAAACAGAAAAGAATCAACTAAATTTATGGCATGTGAAGACTGCACAGAAATGCCAATAAACCAGAAAACCCAAATTACCAAGGAACACAGATTAAAGAAAAGAATTCATCCTTTTTGATGAGTAGCATCTTATTTTCCCTGCAATGGCAGATCTCTGGTTTAGTTTCTTGAGTGTATTTCATTATACACTCTGTTTATAAGATTCAAATATATTTCTATTAATTCCTTTTCATAATAAATTAGAACAACTCACCTAGTGATTTCTCATCTGTATGGGTTAAGGCCAGGCTTTCAATAAATACAACTAATGCTTCAAATGCAAACTGCTCCACCAAGGAATTTTCTTCCCTATAGGAAGAAAAATAAAGTGCATTTGGTAGAAAACATGAATGGGAGCAAAAAAGAACAACTGAATATCAAACTCTAATACGAAAAATAAAAATTAAAGGAGTAAAAGCTTCTTTGAAAGTAACAAAGATGACAAACAACTACAACAAAATGCCCTCCTAAACACAGCATAAAATGTTGGTCCTCAACTGCCAAAACAAAGATCAGCTATCTACCACTTTGAAACTAAATGCATAAATAGGAGCTTACAGGGGTGTAGGTTGTAGCCATGTTGGTCTAAGGACATACGGAAAATCCTTGAACAATTGCAACCCATACTAGAAAGAGACCCTGCTCTTAAAAAGATCTTCCCAGAGCCACCCATCCTAG